GGCCTTTGGCTTGGGAGATGAGATACTTATTAAAAATTTGAAATTATTTTGTCTTTTTTTTTTTAAGATCGACGGGCCTGCGTTTCAAAGAGAGAGAGAGAGAGAGAGAGAGAGAGAGAGAGAATTTTAGCTAGGTCTTTGAATAACAGTGACATCGGTGCAGATTACCAGGTCCCTAGGAATGTACATGTATATATAGAATAGGCACTGCCTTTCCCTCGGAATTCATCACCTGCTTCTGTAAAGCTCCGTCCTCACTTGTACTTACATGTACCTGGTAAAACCAACCGACTTCGAAGGAAAACATTCTATTTATTTCGGGGATGGGGGTATACATATAGTGATGAGAGGAAATTTATTCACCTATACGTTCATTAAATATGAAAGATTGCTTCTGAGTATTTGTGTACGATCGCACGACTTTCGTGTTAATTTATAATTAAAAGTTAGATTATGTAAGCAAAGAACTAAACTAACATTTGTCATTTGTTAGATGAATTAAATTATTCAGCCGTTTTTAAGGGTTTTTTAAATCCGTAAGAACCACTTTATTTTAAAAAACAAATAATTGTCTTATTATTGGCGCCCATGATATATTAGACAGGATGTTAAATTAAAATATAATTCAGATATCGACATCCAAGAGAACAACACTTTCTTTTTCAGTGGCGGATACAGGAATCTGGAAAAAGGGGCCCGACCAGTTTTGGGTCGAGGTAGGGGCCCAAAGCAACACAAAAAAAATTCATTTATTAAATCTTGTGTAAATTTTGGATACAAAAGGGCGCAGGCCCCCTGAACCTCCTCTAAATCTGCCAGTGTTTTTTTTCTTCATTATAAAGACTTGCAGAAAAAGCGAAATACTCCAGACATTTAATAAAAATCTCGAACCCGATCTAAAACGCGTTGACAAAGTCAAACCAGACGGTTTTAGTTTTTAGGGCATTTTTACAGTGATATGAGAAAAGTCTGATAACTGCTGTTAATCTTAAGAAATAAAGTTCGGCATTTTTCAACCTCGTTCGGTATAATTTCATTTACTGATAATTTTTTGTTTAGGAGGAACACATGGACGAAGGATAGAAAATAGGTATTCTGCATGTACATGTACACATCATTGCTTTTGTGTACTCGGATTAAACCCAAAATCCTTCGTTACATTGTATTTGGGTATAATTTTCACATGTTCTCAGGCGGATATTCATTTATTTTTATCTGTCTAAGGACAATAATTACAGTTAATAGAGAAATGTTTTTATTTCATCGTTTTTTTTTTCCCATCCTTTTGATTAATTTACACGTTTACTTTGTACACAAAAGCTTGTGTTCATGTACCGCTGTTTCTACGCGCTATCGGTGTGATCAGGGAGAACATGATATCCTCCAGCAATTTACTTCTTATGAAAACATATTAGGTGAAACCCGTTAGTATCTTAGTACCTTAGTATCTACCTGTTTAATTGCAATGTCACCAAGCGTAACGATCGCTGGCCAGGACTTGAATATAATTGATTACCGTTATTAAAACAACTCGTCAGCTGAGCGAACCTATGATTTAAACAGTAAAATAGGGAAATTCCAGAGTTCGAAGTGTATTTATTTTGGGCGCTCTTCCACATAAACAAATAAAACCGCATTTACGCGCACTTAATTACATGCATGTGCCAGTAATTCGTATCATGGGTCAGTTCAGTTTGTTAGATGAAATAAAACAAATGCATAAGATTAATCTTCCTAAACAACACGTTTTTTAAAACAATCTATCTAATATAACTGACGGTATAAAATAACAAAGAAAATAACGGGTTTGTGTTTGTATTTAATATGGAATGAGAACAAATCTTAACCTGTCAAATCATTTTTATAAAACATACCTCGTTTTCCAGACATTAATTACTATGCGTAATCTTCACATGCACTATCCAAGAGGTCAAAAGTTTGAAATGTATGGCTTCTCATTGTGCGAGTTTTGTCAACACATGTCGGAGTAGACTATCTAAGCCAATTGATTCCCAAAGAAAACTGCATAGGAAGTTTTTTGTTTTTTTTTTTTTTGTTTTTTGTTTTTGTTTTTGGTACACTTTTTAACGGGTAAAATTCATTCGACACTCGATAGAATTTTCAAATACAAGTGAAATATTTAGGTTACTTGCGTCCGACCTAGTATTTTCTATGCAATAATATTGTACGTTAGGACGAAAATAATATACAAACTCAAAAGTACTTAATTTTATTTTCGATTTTCCTGACAATTAAAAATATGACCTTCATGTACAATTATCGTGATAATTATATACATGTTGTTTAATGTTCATGAAGAAATAGCAACTCGTTAAATAATGACATAAGAGAGATAAATAAACTGTTTCTTTAATACGCAAACAAAGTGGTCTTTTCGGCATTCAAAATGCATTGAATTTGAAGTGAATAAGTAAAAGGCAGTTAAGACTAGCTGATTAAAACAAGCGAGTGATAAACAGTAAGACGAAATCATATGAAAGATTCGAAATGATTTTAAAGTAATTTTCCACAAAGCGCAATTATCTCGATATCGAGAAATACAATGTTTATAAAAATAAATATGCAACTTTCTTGTAATTCAGCGAATAAAATCGAAATGTACTCGCGACTTAATCAAAGATATTATGAAATAATCTGAAAGATTCAACATATTTATCCACTTATCACTTAGTTTACAAAATGTATTTGGAATGGCCATTCTATGGTTTGTTTTGTGTATGACCTTAGGTCGCTAATTCACACGCCGATTGATCCCCGGTGACCTCCTTTGCCACGCGCTATCGAGGGAGGGGTTGCATAATTGTAAACACACAAGGTGAATGTAAAAGGCGTGTACTTAATGGCTGTGAATAATCTATGTTTAAAGTTTTGTTTTATTTTCTATCGTTATTGTTTGTTTTTATATGATAAGAAAAAAAGGTTATCTTTTTCCCCCCTGTTTAGTAGACTGGTTTATCCAAATTTGAAAACAAACGAATAAAAAGGGAAAGTTGTCAGAAAATAATTTGGAAATAAAGCACAGAATACTTCAAGAACTTGATTCTAAAGAATATTAGCATCTAATGTAGCCAAGTTTATTATTTATAGTAAGTTTATCTTAATTACACGCATGAAGAGCTCTTGTTTACTTGCTGAATGAAAACACTTACCTGTATATGTGTTATGCTTCTAGCTCATTTAGAACACAAGACTCAAACAAAATAATGTTTTTATGAGATCAATAAGATGTTAAAGAACAACTTTATTTCCGACAGCTATTTCGAAATATTTACCATTTTTGAGTTATAAAGCAAAAACTTTAAAGGGCCCCAGATCCCTAATGTTAGGGGCCAGACCCTTTTTAGTGGTGTCAAATGAAAGGCCTTAAAATTGTGCACAACTTTTATTCTACATGTCTTATCAAAATATTTTTAGTTTAGAAGATAAAAAGGAAAATATGTGTAAATTTTCGCTCTTTTAGGCGTTCTAATTTTTGACCCCTCTCTAGCGCCATTTTGAATACAGAAATTGAAAAACAAAAACCGATGTGCACAACTTCCGTGCTTCTATTATTTAAATTCGGTAAAATTTCTACTCCAGCTTTTGTAGTCTTTGAGCCTTTGTCTGGAAATGAAGCCCCCTAAATTTTCATTTAAAGGGAAATAACCCAAAAGCGGAAGTGGATTTTTGAAATGTTTGACAACATTCTGATAGAGTTTTGTAACGTCTATAAACCCTGCAAATTTGAGCAAAATTCGTTGAGAAATGAGCGAGATATGAGGTCTCAAAGTTGGCGTCTAGGAAAAAAAAAAAAAGAATAATAAGAATAATCTTAACCATCAGAATCAGTAGAAGGTCTTCCGCCTGGAGCGGAAGACCTTAAATATGTGTATGTCAGTTTTTTCTAAAGACGGCAAAGCTTTTTGAAAAAGCTATCCTCGTCCATTATTACAGACTTAGTGTGTACAAAATCTTGCTTGTTTTAATTCTTTAATCATACTAAAAGAGTTTGGTCTTCATTAATGAGCAAGTTATCTTTAAAAAAATTGTGCCCATATTTGATAACGGAAAATCACTTTTCGGTGTACATCTTTAAAAGAAGCCCATTTTGTATGTTTGACAAATATTTTAATTTTGTTTTGGGATTATTTTCCCCCGTAAATTTGGATTCCAGAAAAAAGTTAATTGGGAAAGACCTTATGTTGAATAAAATAATGTAAAAAAAAAAAAAAGCATAGGTTTATAATTTTTTTTAACTATTTGTCATTAACATTTTCATGTGACTAAGCTTCTTATTAATTCTTTAAACTCGAAACAGCTTTGAAGTTTTTTTAATATCGTGTTATTTTTCCGAACATAACACCTTTTTAATTATATATATTAGCATATCCCCCGACAATCTTTGACATCCTGCAAATTCTCAATTTGATTTAATAAGCTTAAATATTTTACTCTTCAAGATAATTACGGATTCAATTCGTATTCAATCGGTGATTTATTTTATGAAAAGATAAAATTCTTCAAATAAATGAAAAGATGATAATTCTTCAAGTATTCTGATTTTGATAGAGAACATTAAATATCTTTTTCATCCTTGTGGTCGTTTTGGCTTTTTTAATATCTGCGCATTATCAAATTTTGGGACCGTCTTTTTAAATCAAAACTTCACCTAGCTGCCTACGCCTGGTCAGTTTTATCTGCGCAGACAATACCTGTCTGTTTATATTGTTTTGACTATTTCGACGAAATCCTTGATGTTTTTGTGTCAAAATACGATAGCATATTACTATTGTAGTTGAATATCTTTATGACAGTGGAGTTACATTGTGCACTTTCTGTTTTAGTACCTCACCAAAAGGTATGAAGTAACTTACCTATGCAATAAAAATTATTCTATTGGTAAAGAAAACTGGAAGACGGTCTCTTTTAGCAAAATGGAAGTTATCATTCTTGTCAAAATATTCTTGTCACAATAATAATGTTATTTTTGAATACCACAGCTTAATCTGAGTTTGATGAAGAATAGAGTGGTGGATCTTGGTTCTTGGAGACATGAGAATGGAACAATATCTGTAGGCCCTGGTAACACGTGGCTTGATGTCTATAGGGAGGTAAGTACGACTAGTTTCTATGAAGCAAGACTGATATCAAAACAAAGGGAGGTAAGTACGATTTGTGTTTATGAAGCAAGACTGATATCAATACAAAGGGAGGTAAGTACGATTGGTGTTTATGAAGCAAGATTGATATCAATACAAAGGAAGGTAAGTACGATGGAGTTTATGAAGCAAGACTGATATCAATACAAAGGGAGGTAAGTACGATTTGTGTTTATGAAGCAAGATTGATATCAATACAAAGGGAGGTAAGTACGATTGGAGTTTATGAAGCAAGATTGATATCAATACAAAGGGAGGTAAGTACGATTGGTGTTTATGAAGCAAGATTGATATCAATACAGAGATATTCTGATTTTCATGCAGATGCCAAGTCTAAGAGCAATAGGTGACATCACACAATTTTTTTCTATATACATGTATAAGTACTTTTGTATTTGACAGTTACTTCAAAGGTATTGAATTTGCGATATAAACTAGAGTTTGTCATAACCAGTCTGAAACCTTTATTAATCACAGTCAGTTAACGGGTTAAACGTGCACAGATTCACAACATCTGCAAGTTTGTTTAGGATACCCATTAAGATCAGGCGAAAAGTGTTCTGAACATTGTGTTTTTGATCAAATTCCACTCCTCATAAAATGACATAAAAGTGTTTGCATATATGTGTATGGTAAGGTAACGCAAAGCAAACAATGCCGACTTTTGATTGCAAGAAAGGCCAAAGATCTGTGATGAGTACATTTGGCTAGGTTATGGTAAAAGCGGTGCGTACAGTTTTGTCGTCTGTCGTATTAAGAGAATGAAATGTTCTATGTATGTCGATATTGGCTGATCTCAAAGGGGGATAGTAGACCTTGAATACAATATATGGTTTTAAGGGGCTTAGATCATCCAAGGGGATTTAATTTAAGGTATCAAACAAATACTTTATATGAAATACTTTTTAGAGTGGAAATCAGTGGAGATAGAATATTATATGACACAGTAAAAAGATGTAATAACTGATATGTTTCAGGTAGACAAGTATGGGAGGGTGATTGTGGGCGGCAGTGCCCAGACCGTTGGTATGGGGGGATACACTCTTGGAGGCGGACATAGCCCAATCTGTCGGTTCTATGGAATGGCTATTGATAACTTACTGGAAGTAGAAATGGTCATGGCGGACGGTAGAGTCGTCACTGCGACAAAAGACTACGTACACACGATTTACAACAATGGAAGCACATCTAACGTTAGTGACAGTGAGTTCTTCTGGGCCATCGCCGGTGGAGGGGGTGGTACATTTGGAGTGTCCACCAGATTATTATTCAAACTCCATATGCCACCAGAGAAAGTCTTTAAGCTTGTAATAATTTATCCAATGTATACAGTATTTGGTGAAGATGTCTTTTCCCTAGTCTTTGATAAAATCAAAGAGTTATTTACTGATGACCTACCAAATGAATGGGGAGGATATTTAATCTTTGACGGTAATACCGACGAGTACCTGTCTAAGGGACACGTGACCTTTGTTTTAAATCATTTGGGAGCGAATACAACGGCTTCTTACAAATACCTTGAAAGTCTCATAGGATTTCTACCAACAAAGAGATATTTTAGTGTTACTGAGTACCAAACGTTTTTGGAATATGAGGAAACCATCACTGAACAATACCCCTATTATCTTGTCTTTGTTTATAATTCTCTGATTCCTACAGGTAGTCTTACATCTGACTTCAAGGATTACATAAAATGGAGTGTTTTTGAGAAACCCACTTCAAATTCTAGTGTTTCTTACACAGCTACTCTAATTGGTGGTAAGCACGAATCAGTTTGTTATGAACTAATAAAGCCACTTTGAAATAAGTCTTGCCTTTTATTTCACTATTCTTAAAGAGTTAATGATAAATTATTTCATTATATGAAATCATTTAATTTATATGAATATAAATTTGTTTTCTAGATATTGTTATGTTTTCTTCATAAGGGAAATATGTAACATACTTACTCTTTGATTTCAGGGAAGATGCGAGAGGTCGGACCGGAAGCCACATCAGTTCATCCCGGTTTCAGAAGCACCCTCCTGTCGATGACTGGAGGTGTAGGGTTTGGATTACCGGGGGTGCCCGAAGCTGAGCAAATCTTTTACAAGACTGTGGAAAGAAATAACAAATTTGCTGCCTTTGGAAATGGGATGTATCCAAACGAGGCAGCTCAGGCCACTCCTAACTGGCAGACGAACTTCTGGGGATCCAACTACGATCGTCTGTACCGGATCAAACTTCGAGAAGACTCTAGTAATGTCTTCAGATGTGATCAGTGCATAGGATCAGAATTGAAAACGTCAAACTCGGCGACAGTCGCAATAACAGAGGCTGTTTTTCTGCTGCCAATACTTGAAGCTTTCTTAAAACAGTAAGAATAAATCATCTGTAGACAGCATTTTTAAATATTAAACACAGAGGCATAAAAACAGGAACTGTATATCGACTGGACTCATTACATTCAATATAGTGAGTCAAGTAGTTTAGCACCTTGCCCTTTGGTTGTCATTAAATTAATATTCCATGTACATATATATTGTTATAGTTTCACCCCAAGAGTGATTGTTCCAGGCACCTTGTGATTATAAGGAAAGGTTGTCTTTAGAAGTATCACTATGTACCACATCAGACCAAAAAGGCCAGCAATAACCTATACGAAGTATCACTATGTACCACATCAGGCCAAAAAGGCCAGCAATAACCTATACGAAACAATTATAAGAAATACAAGGAGCTGCATTCAATAAATCTTGTTGGAAATACTTCGTCTTTCAGACCAAAAAAAAACTCAAAGAAGTTCTGGATTCACGTATTTACTTGTGAAGTGCTCTGTACATTATCATTATACTGAGAAATTCTTCCCCAGCAGTTTCTTTGTCATCTTCGATGACATATATATTCATTACAGAAAATTGAGTTTGGGAGAATTCTGACTTTTTTTTAGGGGAGGGGGTAATTTGGATTGCAAATTCTAGCAAGAATATTCAGTATTTTTTCTCTCGGTGTCTAAAATTGTTTCCTTAATCGGCTCTCATGGAAGGAATTAGATATTTGAATAAAAAATGGGAAGCTTTACAATGAATTCTATTGGTATACATGTATGTATGTGCACAAGTATTCGAATTCTTAAAGAGAGTGTATGAGAGTATGACTACTAATGTATGATTTAAAAAATAATGGAAATTCATATTTTAACATTAAAACATGATTACTTGATTTTTCTTAAATAGGCAATTAGTACAAAATTGTTCATACAGTGTCTAGCTTCTATTTACCAATGTTTTGTAGATATGTTCTTTACTGTTGAATTATTTGTTATAATTTCATGTGTTTACTGTTATTAAAGTTTACATTGTTGACACCGAGTTCCTCTTTATCTTAAAGCTTGCTCACACACAAAAATACACACATAAAATTTATTTTATTTTGATAATTTTATGTAGCATTTTAAATAAATTTGCTAAATGAAATTCTGGAATGCTGCCATGTAATACCGACGTTGTATTTATATTTTGTAAGAACATATATTTAATGATTAATTCAGTAAATATATTGCGGGGTATACCTTTCATTCTTTTCTAAAGACCATGACCAATTATCGAATCGTTTATAACCTAGGTATCTGTTTGTAGGGTCATCTTTAACTCAGACGAAGAAAACTCTCGAATGACGTCGGGAATAGTTAAAATGCTAGTATGTATATACCGAATGATGTATTTTTAAACATTTTTATATTTAGTGCTGGATATAAATCAAGGAATTTCATACTGTCATTGCAGGTACAACCCATTTTTACTTTTATTCAAATTTACAGCATTTTAAAAAGGTTCAAATTCAGTTCAAAAGAATGTTATGCACCTGACAATACCAGCATACAATTGTAAATTTTCAAGGTATTTCGAAACATTCAAAGTCTCATGACCAAGGTTAATATCCATGTCCCCGGCCGTAAGTTTAAATAACGAGACTAAAAGGGGGAAAAACTGTATTCCACGGAGAATCAGGAGCCGGAGTTAAAAAGGTAATGATAGTTTGATTATTGTTGATCATTTCCTCATTTGAAAATAAATAATCTTTTTAATGGATATGCTTCTCTTCATTTTTAATAACATTTTAAAATTTATTTTATGACAGCTGTAGGCCAACAAGATAAAAAATGTGTGGAAAGGGTTTATTTTTATTTATTAACAAAGAGTAGTGAATTGTATAGTGGATCTCTAGCAGAGCAGTTCGCTGGGTAAAGTTTGAATGTCATTTTTATAATGTAAAATGAATAATACTCATTTACATATGGAACAAACAACTCAGATTTAAGTAAACAAGTTATACAATAAATTTTGACAAAATCCTGGAATTTTTTATATAGAGTTATTGAACTTGTATTAGTGAATATTGGCACTCGTTGGCTGTACAAATGCACGAGCTTGCGAGTGCATTTGTACAGCCAACTCGTGCCAATATTCACTAATACAAGTTCAATAATTCATTTATTATATAGCTGAAACACCTCCCAATGATTTATATTAATTAATTAAACTAAATTACTCAATAAGAATGTCCAATATCGGGTATTTAAATTAACGTCTCTCCTGTAAGTGTTCAGTATTGCATCATTCAAATGACCCTACCAAGCGTTATGATTTGCTTATTGATGTGTTATACGTACTAAATTATTAATTAATAATTTCAATTTTGCGTGAAAATAAACACATCTTTAAATACCTAGCCGCCCTACCTATCATAAATTTGCCTTTCAGAGGTTGACCAGACGACATTCTTGGTTTACAACGGAGCATTCGATATTGAACGCTCGTATTCGGAATGTTGCGTGCATACTCGTATACAAAATACAAACTAAGCGTTCAATAAAACGCAAAAATATTGAACGCTTAAATTCTCTAGACTTTTAGTATAGTTTTTTTTTTTATTAAAGACTATTTATTTGCTATATAATAAAATAAATTATAATTTAAACATAAAACTTAAGCTTCAGCTTAACATCACAGTATTGAAATAATTGTCTCAAACCATACAAGATTACACATCACAGAGCTTTATGAATCTTACATTTTTTAAGGATAAATAACGCAAACTTTTTTTCAGAAATAAGCATACAAGTGTAATAGATTTATGTCCAGTTAGATTATAATGATATAATAACTTCGTAAGATTTTATAGAAATGTTATAAAATGTGTTCAAAATTTGCATACAGATAAAAGGAAAATGACACGCAGTCACATATTTCTACACCGAACAATACAAATTATCTATATTCTATAGAAATTTATTATAAGTCATTCTATTCAAAAAATAGTCAAAAAATATATACCAATCCATGCATCAGATATTTTGTTTGTGTTATTTATCCTTATTTGGCTCCAGTCTTTGGAACCCTTTTTCAGCTCTTCAAGGTTTTTTTTTATTTAAATATTTTGGATTTCCAACGTTTCGGCATGAGCATCACTGAAGGTACATGATTTGTCGAAAAGCGCATCTGGTGCATCAAAATTGGTACCGTATAAGATTTACATAATAATTTTCAAAAGAGTAATTTTTCCCTTTTTTAGGATGATGATCATATCTGTTGTTATTGTTTTGATCCTGTCTGACCTGGGTCAAACTGTGAACCCTTTCTGCTATCCCGGAGACTCCTGTTTTCCCGGTATCAGCATCATCCATACATTTGCTTCTTCCCTTCCTAACGGATCAGTTGTATTTCCCTCTGACAATAAGACCTACACTGACGTCACATTGATGCACAATCTCATTAGGACTAGATACCCATTCGCTGTTGTCATGGCTATGTCACGTGATGATGTCAAAGACACCATCGCCTTCGCCAGACAATATAATCTGCGAGTGACTGTTCTGGGAACTGGACACGACTTCAATGGTCGCTCCACGGGGAATGGCACACTGCAGGTTTTGAATTGAGCGTTTTGAAATTAAAAAATATATTAATGTACGTTAATTTTGCAAAATTTTAATCCTGAATGTTCAGTCTTGAAGTATGAATGATGAATGAGATTAAAGTGTTTTTACACTTAGCTAAATCTGAGTTTGATGAAGAGCAGAGAAGTGGACCTAGATTCCTGGAGACATGAAAACGGGACAATATCCGTGGGACCTGGAAACCTGTGGATTGATGTCTACAGAGAAGTGAGTAGGATTGATGTCTACAGAGAAGTGAGTAGGATTGATGTCTATAAAGAAGTGAGTAGAATTGATGTCTACAGAGTAGTAAGTAGGATTGATGTCTACAGAGTAGTAAGTAGGATTGATGTCTACAGAGAAGTGAGTAGAAGTTATGTCTACAGAGAAGTGAGTAGAATTGATGTCTACATATAAGTGAGTAGAACTGGTGTCTATAGAGAAGTGAGTAGAATTGACGTTTTTAAAGAGAGGTAAGTTGTTTTCTACAGAAAACAAAGTAGTTATACTCCGGTATTGTCTGCAGAGAAGTGTATAGAATTGATGTGTAGATTAAGTAATAATCCTCCCGTAGACAACAATGGTTGAGATCTACACTTTGCTCTTCTTTTATTCAAAAATAGTTATGCAGTCAGAGATCAGAATCAAAACAGAAATTCTAAATATATTTTCATGCATGTTTATATTAATAACATTCGAGTGACGTGTTCCAGAAGTTGGTTTAACTCATTTCTGGTATTTCTTTTAGGTAGACAAGTATGGGAGGGTTGTTGTGGGCGGCAGTGCCCACACCGTCGGTATGGGTGGTTACACTCTCGGAGGCGGACACAGTCCAATATGTCGGTTCTATGGAATGGCTATTGATAACTTACTGGAAGTAGAAATGGTCATGGCGGACGGTAGAGTAGTCACCGCGACAAAAGACTACGTACACACGATTTACAACAATGGAAGCACATCTAACGTTAGTGACAGTGAGTTCTTCTGGGCCATCGCCGGTGGAGGGGGTGGTACATTTGGAGTGTCCACCAGATTATTATTCAAACTCCATATGCCACCAGAGAAAGTCTTTAAGCTTGTAATAATTTATCCAATGAATACAGTATATGGCGAGGACGTATTCGAACAGGTAACAGGTAAAATCAAAGAGTTATTTACTAATGACCTACCAAATGAATGGGGAGGATATTTAATCTTTGACGGCAATACCGACGAGTACCTGTCTAAGGGACACGTGACGTTTGTTTTAAATCATTTGGGATCAAATACAACGGCTTCTTACAAATACCTACAAAGTCTGATTGAATTCCTCCCAAACAAGAGATATTTTAGTGCTACTGAATACCAAACGTTTTTGGAGTATGAAGAAACAATAACTGACGCGCAGTATTATTTAACCTTTGTTTATAATTCTCTAATCCCTTCTTCTAATTTGACAGAAGAGTTTAGAGATTATATAAGACAAACTGTTTTCATCAAACCTACTCCGAATTCTGGCACTGGATATACCGCTACCCTGATTGGAGGTAAGTATAGAAATCCATAATATTTTCAAAGAAAGGAAATATTTACTTATCTGGGACGGACCAATTTTAAAATTACAAGCAATTTATTTCATGGCTATTATATAGCATTTTACTGCACCGAATTTAAAAATCAAACTGTCAATCTGCTCACCTCATTTTTTATGATGCAGCAATAACAAATTGGAGGCGATTGGAAAATTTTGATAAACTAAAATACTTTATGTAATATATTTATATTTTTGTAGGGAAAATGCATGAGATAACACCGGAAGCGACATCAGTTCATCCTGGTTTCAGAAACACTCTCCTGTCGATGACTGGCGGTGTGGGATTTGGACTTCCTGGGATACCAGAAATCGAGAAGATTTTCTACAAGACTGTGGAAAGAAATATCGAATTCGCCAAATTTGGATATGGGATGTATCCAAACGAGGCAGCTCAGGCCACTCCTAACTGGCAGACGAATTTCTGGGGAACCAACTATGACCGTCTGTACCGGATCAAACTCCGAGAAGACCCTGATGATTTCTTCACATGTGATCAGTGTGTAGGGTCAGAATTGAGAAATCAATCAGAATTGAAAACAACCACATCATCACCATCATCAGTAACATCAGCATTTTTCTCAACAGCTACATCATCATCATCATCTTCACAACCATCTTCATTTTCAGATGATTCATCTACACCGCTCTCATCAACTACATTGAAAGAGTTTCAAACAACCCTTTTCTCTTCTACCTTAAACAATCCAATCTCCCATGCTTCAACTACATCCAAGTTATCTGTTTTAAATTTGCTCTGCAATGTTTTGGTTTTATGTGCATACCTACATTGATAGTTATAGTAATAAATTTCTCTAATATACATGTGTATATACATAAAATTAAAATTATTGATTTTTCTTTAAACATAAATAAATAATAAATTATTCTCTAAAACAAAAAGATAACAAAGTAATAACAATTATAAAGCCTTTATCTATCCAGGATGGTACATTTAGCAACATTGTTAGATTTCAATATGGTCCTGCATATAACATAAGAAACCAATGTTTAGGATTGGTGGTGCTAAAATCCTGTGCAATGAAACTGTTAAGCTACTAAGAGTGGATATAGATTTGATGCTTAAAGTTGATCTTCACACTATAGTAATATTTGCAAAAAGCTGCCCAACAACTGAATAGGTTCAGTTTTAACTTGGGCAAACAAAATTACCATATCTGTCAAATCCATTTATGAAGATTTGGAGAGTAATTATGATATATTGCTACAAAAAACAAAATTACCTTCCCTAGAGGTTAGAAGAATGTGCGGAATGGCTCTTTCATGTTTGTCAGACTTACTAAGTTTTATTAGAAAGTAAAGTACAATTTTAGATATTCGAATATTTTACAAATACTCCACGTTAGAACTTCTTATGGTAAAATGTTTTAGATATGCAGCACCAGTTCTATGGAACTCCCAATCTGAAAATTTTAAAAGTTAAACAAACGTCTTACAGTTTAAATCCATGAGAGCCTTCTGGAGTGACAAGGACTGTGAATGCACTGCCTGCTCCACTAGGTAATGTCTGTGTAGCCTTTTTGTGTCTCTGTACATGTGTGTCTTATATATGTATCTGTTATGTCTTCTCAATGCAACTGAGGTGTCCTATTTTGATGTATTTCTATGTTTATAGTGCTGCATGTTTTATTGTTTTACTGTTATGTATTTTTACCGTTATGTATATGTTACTAATGTCAGTCAGAAGCTCATTAGAGCTTGTGTTGTCTTTTTAACTGCCATACTGACTTTAAATAAAGCTTATGTTATCTTTTTAAACAACAAAGAAAACATTTTATTTGTTTAAATAAATACTAAGTACTGGTTTTAATTGACATGCGATGAGAACACTTGCTGTCCTTTTGAATTAACTAAGAGCCTGTAGCGAATGCTTCAGTTGGTATAGCCCCTACATAGAGTTTAGGTATCCTGGTTTGAATGCCTCAATTTCTTCTTCTAGGCAATACTTGTCCCCTATTAGCAAATATAGTTTTAGTCTTAAAAATCAAAAAGGCCTTAATTCCATCAAAAATCATTAAGCGGAGCAAAATGCAAAATCCATCCATAACTCAATTAAGCAGACTCACATACTAAATATCAGCTCAGCATCTTCAAGCGTTTAGGAAAAAGTGAAGAAAACCAAGTAGGAAATCTGATTCCCGTAAAACATTATACAGGCTTAATTTGTGTCAAAAATCATCAAAGGGAACTTAATACAAACTTCAAGGTACACTCGCGGTCCAAAAATCAATTCAATATCTGCACGTATTTAGAAAAGAAAGGTACGGAAACTTAGAGAAATAAACAAACAGACGAGGAGGAAACATTTACTTATCTTAAGGCAGTATACACAAAACCCATGAAATCCGTTTTAACGCATATCTTATAAAGTTTACCAGAGAATTTGGATTTTTGGGGGTAAAATCCGTGTTCACGAGATATTTACACTTACCTTCCTCCTTAACTATTTGCAATTTCCCTCTAGTTCCCCATACAATGCGTCGATATATTTTTTTAGAGTCACTACGTTATTACCTCCAGTTATCCCCCTTAACTTTAACTCAGTTTCTCTCGACGATTGATTGATTGTTTGTTGTTTAACGTCCCTCTCCAGAATTTTTCACTCATATGGAGACGCCACCATCTGCCGGTGGAGGGCTACAAATTTTGACCTATACTCGGCACTCAGGGCCATTGAGCAGTGAGGGATCTTTTTCTTGCCAGCACCTACTGCGACACGGGACCTCGGTTTAAACGGTCTCATCCGAAGGATTCGAACCCGCGACGTAAGGTTCAACTCCTTACTCCGCGACTCTAGAGCAGACGCTCTCTCTAAACTTCTTCACCAGCGACTTCTCTCTAAACTTTCAAATTCCTCGAGGGGAGGTGGGCGGGTGAGGCAGGTAAGTGTAAACATGAACACGGATTTTACCCCCCAAAATTTAAGTTCATTTCAAAATTTCCACTTACCTGCCTCCTTAGCTATTTGCAAAGGAATTTGCAGCCCAATCTGGAGGTGGGAGAGGAAAGAGCAAATGATAAAAGTACATAAAAAAGTACATAATTACATAATTTTGCTTCCCCCTCCTTGACGAGTCCAAGATTGCTAACTTGGCAAAAATGGACTGATGATTTGGAACATCCTTCAGATAAAATGACGTAAATGTAGATTCAGATGCCCAGTGTGCAGCACGTAATATCTCCTCTGAAGATACACCACAATGCCCAGGAAGTTGACAATCGCCTAGTGTCATGTGCTCTCGCTAGATTTAACGTTGACGATTCTGCATTGTCATATGCGAAACGAACCATGCTAACTATCCATCTCGCAATCGAGTCTTTTGATGGTTCTTTGTGATTATTCTGTTGGTAGGTCACAAACAATCTATTTGACTTCCGAATCAATTTAGTTCTATTGATATAAATCTTCAACGCACCACAAGGACATAGTTTTAAATCTTCTGTTGCAATGCCCTCTATCAGATTGAAATGTGCTCTCAGATACTCTACATGTTGGGATGGCACTAGAGACGACTTTTCACAATTCACTAACAATTCCAGTTCCTGAACTAGATATAAGATAGTTTCTCTGGTGAAGAAGATTGTCTGAATTGATCATCAACCAATCGTCTAGGTACATGAATATTTGCACTACCATTTTTCTTAAGTGTTCTGCAAGAACTGCCATTACTTTTGTGAAGACCCTTGGAGCTGAACGAAGTCCAAAAGGCATCGCTCGAAACTGGTAACTCTGGTTAGAAATTTGAATCGTAGAAATTTCTGGAATTCTGTGTGAATTGGAATGTGAAAATAGGCATCGGTCAAATCCAATGAGATTGCAAAGTCCCTTTTTTTCATTGCTTTCATTATAGAACATAGCGTTTCCATTTTGAAATGTCGAGGCACTATTAACCGATTTAGAGGTTTCAGATTTAGAATTGTCCGAAGCCCTCCTTGTTTCTTTGGCACCACTACAAAAATGGTGCTGTAAAACCCTTCGTTTTCTTGACCGGCAGATACAGGTTCTGTAACATCTTTTTCTAACAACATGCTTAACTGACTCGTGAATATCATATCTTGGTACACACGTTTCCTTGATCTTTACATAGGGTTGAATCATAAACTCCAATTTTAACCCTAATACCCATTGATCCTGAGCGATTGAAGTCCACTTCCTGTGGAATGCTAACAAACGTGCCCCTACCTGGGGAAGCATATTTACAGATTGACTGTTTACAAGATTCACTTCCTTGGAGTTGGAAACCCTTTTTGGCCCCCAAAGGTTCTCCTGGAAAAAGAATTCTTCCTGTTTCCCTGTCTTGCACGAAAATTGTCCTTGCCCTGATCAGAACTCAAAGTATTACTTGTCTCATTTGATTTAGCTACTTTAGCAGAAAGAGCAGAGGACTCAGCTACATTTGCTTTCCTCTTCCTACTCAACTCGGTGGAGTTCCTACTATTCTACTCTTGTAGTTCTTATTATACCCCTTTGATGTGTTGTAAACATTTTGGGTTTCTCTTGCATCTCGTAGATTCTCTGCAGACATATGGAGAAATTCAAAGTACTCTCCATTAAACAAATGGTTGCCAAAAATAGGGATTTTCAGCAATTTTTTCTCTGTTGCCTTGCTAATAAAGTCTACATTTTTAAGAAAAACTTTCTTCTACTCGAGACTGAATTTGCCATTACTCTTGCTGTCAAATCAGCCATACTTCTGAAACAGTTGATGAGAGCTTTACGTCCTTCCACTCGATCATCCTCACATTCAGCCTCATCTCAAAATGCTATCAAAGTACCATAAGAAATGGCCCTGAATACGGCTCTTGCTGAATTGTCAATTCGCCATAAAAGTCGTTGTGTAACTCCTTATGAAAAGGAGAGAGATTAACTTTTGATTTTCTAAAACTACCTTTCTGGCCTACTACTAACCCTTCCTCAATATTGTCATCTAATTTTGGAGGATTACAAAAGGCGTCAGTCATCTTTTTTCACCAAAAACGCTTTATCATCTCTGCCACGTACTGATCTATTTTTCAAATGCCCCGAGGTAGCTTCTTTTTCAACTTTTTTAATCATATCAATGAGTGTTCCTTCAATAGGCATTTTGAGGAGAGACTTTTTCTTGTCACTCTTGTCTCCTTTCAATCGAGAAGAAATAAATGATTTTCTCTCATTTTCCAATGGATCCTCAGCTTCAAGATCAATATTGAGAACCTTTGCCATCTTAGAAACAAAACAGTTTCACTGCAGAGGATCATCAGAATCTGGTGCACCAAAAGGCGCCTCTACTGGTGCATCTCAAATGGTCTACAAACCTGCATTTGAACACATATCCTCAAAATCATTGTCTCGTGCATTAACAGACAAAACATCAGCAACATGGACTCAAAGGACATTTGTTCATCATAAGACTTTGTCAAAATGAGGTCTGCCTATGGTTGCCGTTTTGGAATTGGTGCTCTCATTTCCTCTGGTCAACCTTACCTCGCCTACTGATACGTTATGTTGATCATTAAAATTTATATCAACATCCTTTTGCTTAAGTAATAATTCAACCTCCTGTCTTACTTGGTCTTGAATAATTGCTGATAAATCAACGACCTCTGCTCCACATTTGTTAATACGGTCGCCATTGTTGTTCGACTCATGGACTGCCGCCTCCACAGACGGAATTGCGTCCTGCACTGCCATACCGTCTCCTCAGACGGATTGAGGCAACTAACTGTTCATTTTAATAGTCTTCTGTATGCTTTTCTCAATCATTTTAGTTACTTTATCCTGCCGTTCCTTTGACCATGTTTTACGTGTCATATGGAAAGGCCTCGTTGTAGAGACGATGCTTGTAACAAAAAACGTGATCGTCTAGTATGTTCATCTTACCGGAACATAAATTAGAACAGTCCTTAAACTCACTTTCCATTTTTACAACTTCCAAAAACGCCAATTTAAACTTTTATTTGCACTGTATGAGGAAAACCGCATGTCCCAATATGGCGTCGAGAGAAAAATGAAGTTATAGTTAAGGGGGATAACTGGAGGTAATACCTTAGTGACTCTATAAAAATTATGTTGACGTATTGTATGGGGAACTAGAGGGAAATTGCAAATAGTTAAGGAGACAGGTAAGTGAAAATATTGAAATGAACAGAATAATTTCACTATAATTTTATATTTAGTTTACGACGCCAACGAGGACAACAACGACAGACAACAGACAAATTTCGATCAGAAAAGCTCACTTGAGCCCTTGACTAAAAAGTGTTATGGAGTATAAAGTGCACAAAACAATAGCTAGGGTTTTTTTAATTTTTTTTTTTCTTTGTACAAATTTCTATATCCTTGATGGGTACAGCATCTAAAAATTAAAAAAAAAAACAAAAACACAAGTCAGTATTGATTAACAATATACAAAAATACATGTATTTGTAAAACAAGAGGCCCAAGGGCCTTAACGGTCACCTGAGTATAATACAACAATTTAGAAGATCCATAGAGTATAAAATAAACCGACAGATGAAGCTTTGTTGCCCAAAAGCAAGAGAAATAGGATGATCAGAATCAATGAAATAATTAGTCTAGTATTCAGTAACAACTGACATACATTAAATTCTAATTTATCCCCCATTTAGCACTATCACCATGCAGACTATTAACAAATAGTTCCTCTGTACTACTTTTAACCCCACAATGTGACCTCTAACATTGGCCTCTCTTGGTCTTTGAAGAACATTTAATAAGTTATTTTTGTCTCATTTTTATCTATTTATTATTTGTCTATCTGATCATTAAAACTCTGAAAGTACTTTTTGTATTATTCAATAAATTTTTTTGCATAATTCTCTTATTAGTCCCCTATCGGTGAAACTGGAGGGGACTACAGGTTTCCTCTGAGTCTGTCCATCCGTCTGTCTGTCTGTCTGTCCCTCTGTCTGTCTGTCTGTCCCTCTGTCTGTCTGTCCCAAATGGTTTTCCGCACTTTTTTCCTAAATGCTTGCAGATATTGTGTATCTTGATGAGTTACAGATCAAGTTTAAATTTCGACCCGCTTCATTGATTTTTGACGGAATTGCGGCCTTTTCAATTCTTAGGGGTTTTCCGCAATTTTCTTCTAAACGCTTTCAGATATTGAGCTGATCTTTGGTATGTGTCTTTGCCTTGATAAGTTATAGATCAAGTTTGCATTTCGTCCCGCTTCATTGATTTTTGACGGAATTATGGCATTTTCAATTCTTAACGGGAACCAAATTACACTTGCCGGTAGGGGACTAGTATTGCTAATGCAATACTCTCAGAATGCTTGTTCTATTAACTTTCAAATACATTATTTACAGTGATTAATTATCAAAAGTAAATGGCCAAGGGTTCCAAATAACTTCTCTCAGTTGAATACAAATTAATACAGCCCCCACTAGGACCAGAAAACTTGACCAAATGGTCCTGACGTTCAAAAATCTGGTAAAAATATCCTTGCTTATTAAAACTTTAATTCTATTTGCCTTCGATATGCCAAGGAGCAGAGAAGATTTTCAAAGAAAATTCAAATCATACATTTTCACTACAGATTCAACACACCCCTACCCTAACACTAAAACCCATGTCCTAGGGTCATGAAATTCATAAATTTGGTAGAGATACCCTCATCATCATAACTATGCACTTAGTTGAAGATTTTCAAAGAATTAACAGATTTTCATTTTATTAATAAATATAGTCAAAACCCACCCACCCACCCCCGAGAAACACCAAAACCTAAGACCACAAGTTTTAAAATTTTGTAAGAAGCACAATTGTTGATCATAAGTATGCACTTTATTTATCTGCTCAACGCTGAGGAGCAGAGAGGATTATTTGACAGAATTAATGCATTTTCACTATATTATCAATAAAGTCCCATCCTTACACCAGAACATATGACTTAGAGGTCATGATTCATGAAGAAGCACTCTTGTTCATCATAACTACACACTTAGTTTACTTTAAAACCAGGAGCAGAAAAGAAATTTTCAAAGAATTAGCACCAGAACCCCTGACCCAGGTGCCATGGATTTCAAAATTTTGGAAAAACCATCCTTGTGCACCTTTACCATGCACTAAGTTTGTTCAAATAATACCCAGGAGAAGAGAAGAAAATTTTTAAAGAATTAATGCATTTTCACTATATAATCAAAAGAGCCCCCCCCTCCCCCCCCCCCCCGACACCAGAACCCCTGACCCAGGGGCCATGAATTTCACAATTTTGGAAAAGGCGTCATTGCTTGTCATAACCATGCACTTAGTTTGTTTAAATAATATCCAGGAGCAGAGAAGAAGATTTTTAAAGAATTAATGCATTTTCACAATATAATCAACAGAGCCCCCCCCCCCCCCCCACACACACACACACCAGAACCCCTGACCTAGGGGCCATGAATTTCATAATTTTGGAAAAGGCATCAATGTTTGTCATAACCATGCACTTAGTTTGTTTGTATAATACCCAGGAGAAGAGAAGAAGATTTTCAAAGAATTAATGCATTTTCACTATATAATCAATAGAGCCCCCCCCCCCCCAAAACACCAGAACCCCTGACCCAGGGGCCATGAATTTCACAATTTTGGAAAAGGCATCAATGCTTGTCATAACCATGCACTTAGTTTGTTTAAATAGTATCCAGGAGCAGAGGAGAAGATTTTCAAAGAATTAATGCATTTTCAATATTTAATCAATAGAGCCCTGCCCTAACACCAGAACCCCTGACCCAGGGGCCATGAATTTCACAATTTTGGAAAAGGCATCATTGCTTGTCATAACCATGCACTTAGTTTGTTTAAATAATATCCAGGAGCAGAGAAGAAGATTTTCAAAGAATTAATGCATTTTCACTATATAATCAATAGAGACCTGCCCTAGCACCAGAACACCTGACCCTGGGGCCATGAATTTCACAATTTAGGTAGAGGGCCCAATGCTTATTACAATCATCCCAACAGTTTGACTGCTTGATGTCCAGGAGTAAAGAAGAAGATTTTTAAAGATTGCATCAATTTTGGTGGTTTTAGCCCACCCCTGGGGCCCAGGGGGGCAGGGACCATGAAATTCACAATATGTGTTCCCCTTCACCCAAAGAAGCTATATGCCAAAATTCGTTGAAATTGGTTGAGTGGTTCTAGAGAAGAAGTTGAAAATGTTCAAAAGTTAATGCACGACGGACAACGCATGACGACGGACAAAAACGGATAGCAATAGGTCACCTGAGTGACTCAGGTGACCTAAAATGGCAAAATATTTTAAAGGTTATTTTACTTGTTGATAGACTTTAGCACAACAACAAATGCTTGAAAAACAATGATGGCATGATCTCCTTATCAAGAACAGATCTAGTAAGACATACATGGTATATATTCATCTCCTAAGTATTTTGTTAACATGAGTTTTAGCATATGATGGCATGGCAATAAGATGGTAACATACAATATTTTACCCTTTACAGATCAGTACATCAAACTAATACAACTATCCAATTAAAGCAGGTTAATTTAATCAAACTTTCATCTAAATGCCCTAACAAACTGAAATGTGTGTGCTTTCACTTTATGGATTTGCATGGTAATTTACTGCTTTTGAAACAAGAGAGTCTGATCAGTTCAAGTGAGATTGCAGGCAGCCGGAGGATGATGAAGTAGATCAGGATGGTAAGAATATTCAACAATATAAACATGAATTTCCCAAAATGTCATTACATCATTACAGGGATGTTAATATTTTTATATTTCAGTTTTTATTTTTAAATTTTTATTGGGGGGGGGGGGGGGGATAGAAAATTAGGATGAAATCGAACATCTTAATCCATTGTTATAACAAAGGTTATGAATTTTTGTTTACCATTTATGCTATATTTTGCAAGAGAAACTAAATAAAAACTTACAACCCCTTCTCCCATCTACCCCTGTAAATGAGATCAAAGGATATAAATGCTACAGCATGCAGTACATTGATCCAATGGAATATTACTTAACCCTGAATGTTACTTTTCTTTCTCTTGAAGTATTTCAGACAAATGCCTCAATAGCCTCATACAATGAAGAGCCCAAACCCTGGTCACAGAACAAGAACTGTTTAGTGAGGGGATGAAACTCTCTATCAGACTCGTCATCGGTGTCATCATCAATACAAACACTAAAATAGCATTTTTATTTCAATACTGCATCTTTGCTAGCAGAGAGCCTGATTCTTATCCCCTCATCTCACCTTGGCAGATTTTGTAGGTATATTACTGGTATCGAGGAATTGATCAAGTTATCATTCTTGGCGACAAAAACTTTAAGCCAATCATGTAGATTGTATTTCACAAAAAAATTAATTCACCGAGGTAGGGGTGCAACGATACACAACCTCACGATACAATTAGGAGTGAAACGGTTCACCACGGTATCGATTCACCGCGGTATTTTTTCTCGGTTTGATACACGGTGCAAAATCTCTAATTTTCGGTTCAGTTCATTTTCGGTCGGGATTGTTATTCAGTCGGGTTTGACATAAGGTAAAACACGTTACTCAGTATAAATAAATATAGAAAACGTAAATTTTTGATGACTGATAGCTTGTAAAATAATTTTTGACGGTCAAATAATTTTAATCAATTTCTTCTAGTCAATTTGCAAATAAAATTCGTAAAATATGTGACTAGATTCAGAAAAAAAAAAGCATAAAACAACGTTGAATTTGTTCCCTTCTATCAAAATGTATCGTATCAAAAATAACCGAACCGAGACAAAATTATACAATACGTATCGAACCGTGAAGGTGTATCGTTTCACCCCTAGATACGATACATATCACAGTATTCAGTTCACGATACGATGCGTATCACGATACTTGACAAGGTTAGGCCATCATTAAAAATATCTTTGTTTCCCCTAACCCGACCCTAGAATCTGAAGTTGGGTAGGTAGGTATGTAAATATTTATTTTTTTCTGACAGCAGCTTTGAAAATACATTCTGAATTTCTGATAAGAATGGGTTTTGATGAAATTGTATTTTATAAAAGTTGATAAACATGAAAAACAAGAGGCCCACGGGGCCTTATAGGTCACCTGACAGTGATTTTTTTTAGGGCCGATTTGGGGCCGAAATTCGGCCCCAGTCCCAATTGAAAATATGCCTGTATTTTCCCAAAATGTTGTGGAAGTTTTCCCAAAGAAAAACTTACAAAATATGTGATCAAATTTAGTTTGTTTATTGCATGTTTTTCAGTGAAGTTCAGCCAGGTTTTGTTGTTCAGCCATATTGGATTTCTTCATAATTAGATAATTCATACCACTATTGTTCTTGATGCAAGTAATTAGATAATTCATACCAAGAATAGTCTTGATTTGTTATAACAATTGTTTGTTAAAGTAATACAAAGACAAAAACAAAGCTTTTTGACAATGCTTTTTAATTGACTGGGTTTTGTGGGAGATTCCCAATTTAGCCTAATTGATGCTGAAATTCCCAATTATGAGGGCCCCAGCCCCCAGTCCCAAAGTACTGAAAAAAAAACACTTCCTGAGTATCATGCAACAACTTCGCCACAATGGATTTATGTTTTAAACCAGAGGCCATGAAATTCACAATTTCGAAAGAGGCACACTTGCTCATCTTAATTTTACATTTAGTAAGCTTACTTAATACCCAGAAAGAGAGCAGAGGATTACCGAAGAATTAATGCATTTTCACTATGTAATCATTAGAGCTCTGCCCTAACACCAGAACCATGATGCAGGGGCCTTAAAATTCACAATTATGGAAGAGGCATCCTTACATATCATAACAATACTCTTAGTTCATCAGCTTAATACCCAGGAGAAAAGAAGAAGATTTTCAAAGAATTATTGCATTTTTACTATGTAATCATTAGAGCCCTACCCTAACACCAGAACCCCTGACCCAGGGGCCATGAAATTCATAATTTTGGAAGAGGCACCTTTACTCATCATAACTATGCATCAGTTTGTTTGTTAAATACCCAGGATCAAAGAAAAAGATTTTTAAAGAAATAATGCATTATCACTATATATTCAACAGAGCCCCACCCTAACACCAGAACCCCTGACCTAGGGGCCATGAATTTCACAATTTTGGAACAGGCACCCTTACATATCATAACTATACTCTTAGTTCATCGGCTTATTACCCAGGAGAAAAGGAGAAGATTGTCAAAGAATTATTGCATTTTTACTATGTAATCATTAGAGCCCCGCCCTAAAACCAGAACCCCTGACCAGGGGGCCATGAAATTCACAACATAGGAATAGGCACCCTTATTCATCATAACTATGCCTTCAGTTTGTTTGCCCTGGATCAGAGAAGATTTTTAAAAGAAATAATGCATTTTCACTATACATGTATATTCAACAGAACACTGCCCTAACACCAGAACCCCAGACCCTGGGGCCATGAAATTCATAATTTTGGAAGAGGCACCTTTCATCATCATAACTATGTATTTATTTTGTTTTCATAATATCCAAGAGCACAGAAGAAGCTTTTTAAAGAAATAATGCATTATCACTATATATTCAACAGAGCCCCACCCTAACACCAGAACCCCTGACCCTTGGGCCATGAAATTCACAATTTTGGAAGAGGCACTCTTTCTCATCATAACTATGTACTTAGTTCATCAGCTTAATACCCAGGAGCAGAGGAGAAGATTTTTGAATAATTAATGCATTTTCACTATATAATCATTAGATACCCGCCCTAACACCAGAACCCCTGACCCAGGGGCCATGAAATTCACAATTTTAGAAGAGACACCTTTCCTCATCATAACTATGCATATTGTTTGTTTTCTAAATACCCAAGAGCAGAGGAGAAGATTTTTTAAGAATAATGCTTTTCACTACATATTCAACAGAGCCCCACCCTAGCACCAGAACCCCTGACCCTGGGGCCATAAATTTCACAATTTAGGTAGAGGGCTCAATGCTTATTACATTCATGCCAACAGTTTGCCTGCTTGATGCCCAGGAGTAAAGAAGAAGATTTTTAAAAATTGCATTAATTCTGATGGTTTTAGCCCCACCCCTCAGGCCCCAGGGGGGTAGGGGTCATGAATTTCACATTTATACTCCCCTTCACATATAGATGCTATGTGCCAAATTTGGTTGAAATTGGTTCAGTGGTTCCAGAGAAGAAGCTGAAAATGTTCAAATGTTAACGCACGACAGACGACGCACTCCGACGGACGAAAACAGAGAGCAATAGGTCACCTGAGTAAACTCAGGTGACATAAAAAATATTTGAATAATCTTCTTAAAAAAAAAAAATTCAGTCGGCAGGATTTAATTGGGTCGGTCGCATTAGGGGAAACAAAGGTATTTTTTATTTTGGCCTTAAGAAGTCTTAACTTGACAGGTTTATATCAAATGTTCATATTTTTTTCATAATAATTAAAATATCAATTTGTTAACTTGAATTGGATTGATAGGTAGATCTTTGATTTGAGACAATATTCTAAACCAAAGACCAACATTTACAGGGAACTATTCCGACCTTTCCTCATAATCTTCCTCTTAAACTGGAATGAAAAAGGACTTCAGACATTCAGTCTTTTATTTCTTTCATTTAAGTAGAAAATCAGTTGCCATATTTCTCGTGTTGACACGTTTTAGTGAACAAGGCAGCGAATTTTCATCGAAATACAAGCATGATGAAATATCGTGTATTACGTACAATAGAATATGTTAAGATCTAAAGGGTTTATCATTTGTATTAACATCTATAATTTTAATCACATTAGGAATGAGATAAAGTCCTTCACCGTGTTAAATCAGAGGTTTGTAAGATGCTGGAGATGAGTTTAACTGCCGATATGATAGATAAGGCGCTATCGTTATCGTCGACCTCATGATTTGCGCGGAAGCCATTTTGAAATTGTAAACAAGGAAACAAAACGGACGATTTGGATAATTCTGGACCGATTGATCCGAACCGCAATATCAGTTTAGTGTATTGTGAATTGAACCATGGAAAAATATACCGCGATCGTTGCACTCTTACACTGAGGAAATAAGGTTTAACATGCTATTGTGTGATGCAATTTGACTGGATGCCATAGAATGTCAAAGCATGAGCTTTGAAACTAAGCTAAATTAGCCGAGGGGGAGATCAGATGATACTATATGAATCAGACACTTAGCTAGCAAAAATGCCACCACTGTACAAACTTACAACTCGGACTCTCTTTCCCATGGCTGATGATGGCAGGTTCTTCCTGAATTTAGCTCGTACAGCACCGCTGTTACCGTGTGATCTGGTGACTTTACCCCAGATGACTCGAATGCGGCTAGCTTTGTCATGTCCAGGACATGCTGTCTTCCTGCAAAAATTACAGAGAAAAGGTCCTATGTACCAATCTTAGTGGGATAATACTACTACCGTAAAGTCGCATGTATTGGCCGCAATGGAGTAAAAGACGCACCCCCAAAGTTGGGGTGAAAATCCTGAAAAAAACGCAGGTCCTATGTAAAATGCGCATCCAAAAAATGCATAAATTGGATGTGACTTTAATTTTTCCAGTACAGTAACTTAAGTTATAAGTAGGAAAATTTACGAATCTCAAACAAAAGTAGCAAGTCAGTTTTTTTACTCTACTTATTACAAGTGTGTATGTGTGAACATTTAAATTTAATCTTTTTAATAATTATCTAACCAGAGATAATAAAAGAAATACCTGATTATTTTCTTTTCATATTAATTCCAAGCGTGTTATGAAGTTATGCTTACCGGTATAATGCATAACAAGCGCGTGTCAGTATTTTCGTAAACAAAAATCATACCCAAATAATATTAATGTCAAAGGTCTGGCTTTGGGTAATTAAACAGTTCTTGGAATCCATCGATAATTATTTTAGTTAGCTAGTGCAATGAACAATCAGTGCTGTGACCATGATGACATGCTAAATGAATGTGCTTGATTGTATTCTACAAATACGTTTTTATATGTGCTTCCGACTGAAATATGTTTTAATAAAGTTCTTTTAAAGAACGTGTTGATTTCATTGCAGGTGTTGAGGTGATAATTGTTAAATAAACAATGGTCATGTCCTACTAGACAACAGAGACTGAAGTTATATATAGCAATGATGTAACAATGGAATCCCTAATGATTTGCACCTCTAATTGCACATCTGAAATTTAAAAACATAGGTAATCAAAGATTACTAAGCTCACCTCGACGAATGTTATCTATAAGTAAGGAAAATCTCACATCATATTTTTTTCCTAGTTAGTGTACATTCCAAGATTAATATCCATCAATATTAGATTCAGAATCCAAAGTAAGTCTGGAACTGTCCATCTCTAGATACATCATCATTCATGCTAATTTGGTTAAAATATGGCTAAAATTCACTCATGTGGAAAATCTAGGTCAGATCCAGAATCCAAAGCAGGTTAGTTAGTGTACATCCCTAGATGCATCATCCATGCAAGTTTGGTCCAGGTAGGGCTTATATTTACTTGGGAATGGACCTGCTCCAAAAAAACTTTAACCTGATCAATCATCTGGAAAATCTAGGTCAGATCCAGCATCCCAAACAAGTGTGGTAGCGTCCATCCCTAGATGCATTATCCACGAAAGTTTGGTCAAGGTAAGGCTTAAATAATCACTTGGGAATAGACCTGCTCCCAAACCTTTAATCTAGTCACTCATCTGGAAAATGTAGGTCAGATCCAGCATCTGAAGCAAGTATGGTAGAGTCCTTCCTTTGATGCATCATCCATGCAGGTTTGGTCCAGGTAGGGCTTATAATTGGGTACCTGCTCCAAAAACTTTAACCTAGTCACTCATCTGGAAAATCTAGGTCAGATCCAGCATCTGAAGCAAGTGTGGTAGTGTCCATCCCCAGATGCATCATCCATGCAAGTTTGGTCAAGGTAGGGCTAATAGTTTCTTGGGAATGGACCTGCTCCAAAAACTTTAACCTAGTGACCCATCTGGAAAATCTAGGTCAGATCCAGCATCCAAAGCAAGTGTGGTAGTGTCCATCCCTAGATGCATCCTCCATGCAAGTTTGATTCAGGTAGGGCTTATAATTACTTGGGAATGGACCTGCTCCAAAAACTTTAACCTGGTCACTCATCTGGAAAATCTAGGTCAGATCCAGCATCCGAAGCAAGTGTGGTAGTGTTCATCCCTAGATGCATCATCCATGCAAGATTGGTCAAGGTAGGGCTAATAGTTACTTGGGAATGGACCTGCTCCAAAAACTTTAACCTAGTGGCCCATCTGGAAAATCTAGGTCATATCCAGCATCCGAAGCAAGTGTGGTAGTGTCCATTCCTAAATGCATCCTCCATGCAAGTTTGATCCAGGTAGGGCTTATAGTTACTTGGGAATGGACCTGCTCCAAAAACTTTAACCTGGTCACTCATCTGGAAAATCTAGGTCAGATCCAGCATCCGAAGCAAGTGTGGTAGTGTCCATCCCAATCTGCATCATCCATGCAAGTTTGGTCCAGGTAAGGCTTATAGTTACTTGGGAATGGACCTGCTCCAAAAACTTTAACCTGGTCACTCATCTGGAAAATCTAGGTCATATCCAGCATCCGAAGCAAGTGTGGTAGTGTCCATCCCTAGATGCATCATCCATGCAAGTTTGGTCCAGGTAGGGCTTATAGTTACTTGGGAATTGACCTGCTCCAAAAACTTTAACCTGGTCACTCATCTGGAAAATCTAGGTCAGATCCAGCATCCGAAGCAAGTGCTGTAGTGTCCATCCCTAGATGCATCATCCATGCAAGTTTGGTGCAGGTAGGGCTTATAGTTACTTGGGAATTGACCTGCTCCAAAAACTTTAACCTGGTCACTCATCTGGAAAATCTAGGTCAGATCCAGCATCCGAAGCAAGTGTTGTAGTGTCCATCCCTAGATGCATCATCCATGCAAGTTTGGTCCAGGTAGGGCTTATAATTCCTTGGGAATGGACCTGCTCCAAAAACTTTAACCTGGTCAATCATCTGGAAAATCTAGGTCATATCCAGCATCCGAAGCAAGTGTGGTAGTGTCCATCCCTAGATGCATCATCCATGCAAGTTTGGTCAAGGTAGGGCTTATAGTTACTTGGGAATGGGACTTGCTCCTAAAACTTTAACCGGGACGCCGACGCTAACGCCGACGCCGACGCCAACGCCGGGGGTATAGCATAAGCTCATCTCGACTTCGTCGAGGTGAGCTAAAAATAAAAATAAGATACAGATTTAAGGATAATTCAGAATATATCACAAAGATTATAGTTGTTGACTCATTTATAGGTATTAATAGATCTATGTCTTAAGCGACATGCATTTCTTGTATATGATATAAGCGACGATAGTTCAAAATGGCAGAACATGCAATGGAAATAAAAACAAAGATCGTTTTTCATTATGGCTTTATTTATGAAATGATTATCTTTTTTTTCAACAGGTAGGGTAGATGTATATGACTACAACAGGTAGGGCTGACATAAATGACTCTGAAATTAGAGTAATATTAATAAACTTTGATGTAATTGGTTACATAGAGTAATCAATTCAAATGGATTGGGAAAATGGTCCTCGGCACTGCGAAAGTGACCTGGAAAAAAGGGGGTTGCATTTTGTTCTGATGTATTAAGCGCATCCCTTATTTTAAACAATTTTCTGAAGGAAAAAAGTGCGGCAATTACAAGCAACTTTACGGTACTCTTTTAATGATACGTTTTCTGAACAAATCGAACAAAAACGTAGTTACCACTTCAATTTAATAATGCAAATCACTCGTCAAAAATTTAAACATTCAACAGTTAAAATTGATAGTTATTTCAGACAAATGCCTCAATTAGCCTCACATAAACAGAGAATTCCTCTCAACAAACAAGACAAGAACTGTTTTGTCTGCGAGTGAATCCCAAATGTCAGACTCGTCATCGATGTCATCATCAATAATCAATAAGAAACAAAACAAACCAAACTCTGTATCATCATTTTAGTGTACTGACTGTATATATTACCTTTTAGCTTTGTACACATATGCACATCTTTTGCCAAAGTAGAATGGTGTGTCCTCCTTACACGTGACTCCATCAATTTTCAACAGAGCTGTGTTCTCATGTTGGTTTCTCAGTCCTCTCTTGTAACCAGTGAAGACAGCTTTACAGTACAACCTGTAATCATTTGTTATAAAGACAGCTTTACAGTCCAACCTGTAATCATTTGTAACTGGTAAAGACAGCTTTACAATACAACCTCTAATCATTTCTATTTTTTACTAATAACTGCATTTCCTTTTTTGTCAAACTATAAATCAAAATCAGCTTTCTAAACTAGCTTTTGACACTAGATGGTTTTTAAAATGGTTTCAGTATATTGAGTTTAATAAATCTATTTCAAAGCAGGCTGACTTTCTTTTTTCATTGAAACTTGGCACTTACAGTAGATAAAGAGATCGATTCACAGATTCTGCCTTCATGATCGAGGTAATTTTGTGACATATTTATAGATAGTTTTCATATGACACATTTTCTCTCCGAGTTATTTCCCTTGGCCGCCATCTTGGTGGTCAACCTGGTAATTTTTCCTCTTTGTCTTACCAAATTTAGGAGGGTGTAGAAGAGATACTTGGGGGGAAATCTTTATAGAATAAAAATTATGAAATAAAGGGGGCTTTAACAAATGTATATTTTTCAGAAAAACAGTGCTTCCCACCCCGTAATGGCCAGTATAAAAAGTTAAAGTTGGTTGAATAATGAAGGAATATGAGCATGTTGACCCCCAATATGGCAGCCAACGGGAAATAACTCTTGCTAATTTAGGCCTACTGAAAACTATCTAGGGGGGGGGGGGGGGGGGAAGCATGAATGTTTTTTACCTTCCTAATTTTTTAGGTGGATTAGCTGAAGGTGTATTTGCCTCCGCCATCGTTCTTTGTTACCTGCATGAAAAAATCCTTGTTAGATAAGTTACACATCAATAATATGAATTCATTTGAATGTTAAAATTACAAGGCCCAACTTATGTTCATTCAAAAGAGGACAAAGTCAGATCTGGGTTCTCATTCTGTGTTGTTAGGTTGTACAAAGAAATGCAACATCCTTTGTGGGGTGGGGGGGTGGGGGGGGGGGGGGTGATATTACATTAAGGATATAATTTTGTAAATTAACTTTGCATATATCTGTAATTTAAGGCTTGAACAATTTTCATACCATTACTGGATGTTTACTTAACAGAAATCAAAAATTGCATGTTTAACAAAACATTTGGAAATAAAATATGGGGTTTTAACGATTTGTATCTGTTCATCATAAGTAATGAAGCATTGTTTCAAAAAAATCAATTCTCCTTTCTTTTCTGTAGGCGATGCCAAAGCTTCCTGAAAATGACTTAAGTACACATTTTCATTGCTCTAGCTGGAAAATCTCAAAATAAAGGAGATGGAGAGTTTCAGATGCAAATATGCATAACATTAAAATTTCATGTTCCGGGTAGACTTTACTTTACCGGTCCCCAGATCCGCAAGATCCGCGCGCTCATTGCACTATGACGTAAGATTTACGTCACTCAACTGATTAGGGTTGGTTTTGCACATTTTTCGACTGGTTAGGGTTAGTCTTGCACCTACCTGAAAGATTAGGGTTAGTCCTTGCATAAGTTTTCGACTGATTAGGGTTAGTCTCGCATATATCCGAGAGATTAGGGTTAGTCCTCGCACATGGGTTAGTCTAGCATGGTCTAGCATCCGCCTGGGAGATTTGGGTTAGTCCTCGCATACCATCCGAGAGATAAGGGTCAGTGTCTTGTTCTTTTAGATTAATTAAGAAATTCAGTTGCATCTGTATTTTTTGCAAGATCTTAATTCAGCTTCAACGACATCTCGTTGGTTTGTTTACATGAAAAAAATGGCTAAGTACGAAAGAAACGGCACTAAGCATGCGCCGCACGCGCTTCATTCACAATTATTTTTTGTCTCCTTTTCACTGAATAAACAACATTTGTTACTTTTTTTCAGAAAACGAGGTTAAAAACTTCGTTTATAAACGAAGTTTTAAACTAAACTTTTAACCGTAGAATTCGAATTTGGGGTCAAAAAGGCTTAAAACCTCATATTTTTTATTTTTTTCGATCGCTCACGCGATCTCATATATATTGAAGTCGCCTACGGCGACACTATATTTTAGCGCGTTTTTCTGGGGACCGGTAAAGTAAAGTCGTTCCCATGTTCCAAAGGCCATGACTCTAAGATTAAAGTAAATACCACATAATTCATGTTTAACTCATACTCCGTTCAGTTGTAAGTAAGAGAAATGATTATTCCCACAGGCTTCTAAAACACACTCTGAAACATTCAACACAAATTAACCTCCCCCACCCTTTTCCCTATACATCTTTTATCAGAATTTCCCTCTTTGCTCATATAATCCTCTTTAGTCTTCACTTAACTACGCAAGTAAGGCTTGAAAATTACTACTTTACAGTTATCCATGCCGTTTAAGACTTTGTCAACACAAGACATCTCCATTTCATGCGGTATTTCAGTTACAATCTGACAAATATCCCAATGTGAATCAACCATCAAACATTCAATTTATTATTTACTGATAGGAATCTCTTATTTAAAGATGGGAGATACATATCAAACAACATACTGATGCACTAACGTGTGAAAGTTGAAAAATACAAAATATTGTAAGCTTGTAAGTACCAAAACAACGACGGGAGATTGAAAAAGGAAGCGGAAGTTATCTTAGCCTTACCACATTTCCAAATATGAAAAAAAAAATTTCCTTAGAAAATACTTTATGAAATATACATAAATAAAAAGAATGATTTTTATTATATAGATAAGTCCATATTCATATTTGGGATTGGAAAATATTCCGTACAATAACCGGAAGTATATGTGTAAACGAGGTCCATAGAAACACAAACAATATGGAAGTTCGTCGAGGTGAACTGAGTTAACGAGATTTGGCCATTTCGAGAACAAATCAACACATGTAGACAGCGATAAAGTGTAAGAAATCACACATTTTAAAAAAAACTTTATTTCATTTTTTTTAAATCTTCCATTCTTTAAATTGACACACCTTTGAAGAAAGTTCATAAATCCAGAAGTTGTTACGCGATTATCCTCTTTGGAGAATATCTATTTTGTGTTAAATAAGTTTGAAACATTTTCAGGAAAAACAAAGACCATGGGCAAAGGACAACAAGGTAGTTACTGGTGTTTGAATAGCAATTGTTTTGGCTTTTATGTTAATTAACTTGTATGGAAAAAAAAATTACATGCGTAAGGGAAATAATTTTTCACTGGTCACTTGATCTATCATTTTAAAATTTTACTGGTTAGTTGAGAACTTGTGACATCAGAGTCTAGACATACAATATGTCACGTGCGGTTTGAAGAGCCTGATCTAAATTAAAACTGAATATAGGTATCTGCGCTCGCCCTAACGGTCGCACTGTCAACATATTATTTTTTCCAATAATGATTGTAAAAACTGACAGTTTAAAGAAATCAGATTTCTTTGCTGTTGGTTAATAGTGCCACTTTCAGGCTTTGCATATAGCCTTAATCTGATCCTTGGTGTTTACCGTAAATGCTTTTGGTTTTGAAAATACTTCAAGTTCATTAACGTAACTGTCTATATATCAATACTTTTCAAGCTTGTTGGTTTGTGGAGCTGTTAAGAAAATATTACCATTGAATCAAGACAACTCGCTCTTAGAAATATTTGGGAGATTGAATTTGAATTGTGTCTAAATTTTGAAAATTTGAATTTTTCATTTCTAAGTACATCCTAGCATAAGAAGAAATTGTCTATATCTGTTATATCCAAAATTAAACTAGGATGTGCAAGACTGAGTATTACTATAGTCCAACTACGAATGGATTTTGATATGCATAAAATAATCTCTGGCCCAGGGGCACTTGCTGTCTATAAATCACAAGCCCAAAGCCAAATTTTACTGACTCAAAACCATTGGACCATCAATTATTTTGAGCCTTGATAATACAGTGAGTACAAGGTGTTTAGTTTTTTTATTTGTCCTTTGATCAGATGCAAAACCAGTATAATGGTAAAGTTTTACAAAAAAGTACTTACATGATTATGGACAAATTTAATTCGTGTTAGTAATTAGAATACAGGGATCGACATTAACATTAGTTCTATTGCCCGGGACAAGTAAATTCTCAGTTCTGTGCAAATGAAACTTTAGACGTACTTGTCCAATCGGGCAAGTGAATTTTTCTTACAGAAATGTACATATTTATTTAGTTTACATTAATTTATAAATAAAGCAATAAATTGAACACTTGATTTCCGTCAGGTACCTGACTGACATTGATTTGCGTTCGGAATTCCTTGGTAGCATTTCTAGATTATACCATCCATTTAAAATTGGGTTCGTTACTCTTTTCTTTCGTGGTAAATACGCTCCACATCTACCAACTTTGTTAACTTCTTACTAGGAAATTATATTACTTATTCACTCACAGAATATAAGTAACACAATATATGAATTTCATAAAAAAGGAAACACCTGGGTTATTGCTACATGGTAGTGTGTGTTATCAGGTTAAATTGACAAGGACAGTGGTATACATTTATGTACAAATGCAGCATTGAAATTTTTTCATGAAGCTCAACTTGCCAAGTTGACAGTACTGTATTTGGTAACATTTTTTTATTATCATAACATTTAAGTAATAAATAATATTCTTCCCTAATTTGGGGCAACCAAGTTTTGCATTTGGACAAGTCAACATTTGAGATCACTTGCCCTTTGGGCAAGTGAATCTAAAGTTAATGTCTATCCCTGGAATAATTAAATCAAAAGACTATCTTCATGGTTAGCATCATTTATACCAGTATGTCCTATTTCAGTCTATTTTCAAACTGATTCCCATTTAGCTCTTAAATTGAGATTACTAGTATAGTAGTTAGACAAGTTTAGAAGTAATGACTTTTTTAAAAAAAAAAAACAAAAAAAAAACCTTATTACTGTATTTAGACAGTGTTGTTACTATATATACAGTAGTGAAATAAAAATTTTAAATGCTATATTTTATGCCAGATATAAAAAAAAAATATGGTGTATGGTACATGTAGTGCTGAATGATATTGACAGATAAAAATAACTGCTATTACTCATATATAGCATGAATATTTTAAATATTGGTAGTATGATGTCAATGGTTTTGACAATGTTTAGGTGTGTGCTGTTTCAGTGTGTTGCATAACAGACTTCATTATTATGATAAGTTAAATCTGTATTTAGCAACTTTATCAAAGGAAAATTTTAAAATTCTACAAATGACAGGTAGTCTAGCTCTAAATACACTTTTCAGTGACTTCTCCACAACTTTTCTCTGAAATGCATTTCTAAAGAAACATGGTTTTAATGTACATGTACTAGTCTAGGAGGAAATTTTTGCGAGTGCAAAATTTTTTCCAGAATTAGGCATAGAAGTGACTACATACATGTATATATAAAACATATATATGATGTATTCAGAAACTGACAAAGTAAATAGCAAAATATCAATGCACAGAAAGTTGTTTAATACAGGTTTTACATGACAATTGTTTTAAGAAATCACTTAAAAAGACTTTCATATACTTTTCATTTGGTTATCAGTAACTATGGTCAATGATATAGATATGATATACAGAAGAGTTTTTGTTAATAATCATTTCAAAAAATATGAAATTATTTGTTAAAATATTCATATAATAGGCATATATTAAAATTTCATATTGTGGCCTGCTGATGTGTGTCAATGTGACAATAATAATACCCTCTGGTGTTGAACAAATTTCTGGAAGAATTTCTTTGTTACAGTGGGAGAGATGTTGAGCGGAACAGATGCTATCCATGTGGCCACAGTCCTGGAGGACTGTGTAGATCAGCTGACCATTCTGGGGAGGATCATGCCGGCATCATTTGAAACTCGTGTGGATGCAGTGGAGGTAAATCTATACTGCTGCTGTTGGTAGACAGCTAAGATGTTGTTTTTTCTGAACAAATTCTTCATAACTGTGTTTATTATATTTAAGAGGGAAATACTGTAATATATATTGATATATTGAATTTAGTAGTATTTGATCCAGTGGGAGAAAGTTAGTTGCATGATGTTAATTGATATTTTGTTCTTATGAGGATAGGTGATACTGGTCTGGACATTTATATTTTGTCTATCTTTTAATCAATAAAGCTATACTCTATAGACATAATGACCACCTATGTTTCGGTATGCCAAAGTATCACAAATATGATCTTTCTATGATTTGAAATTAAGAAAGAATTTCAAAGAAAAAAAAGATTATTACATGTATATATGAAATTATATAAATTGTCAACACAATATGATTATTGTGGTACATGTTAATTTACACTGTCTATTTCTTTCTACAGATGGTCAGTAACGAGCTTAATCAGCTGGTCACTGGACAGAAGGAGCTGGAACTGCGATATCAGACCATCCTAGCAAAGAAACTGGATCTAATGAACAGCACCAAAAACACTGACCGTCTGACACAGGTCGAGAAAGAGGTCATTGAGGCAGGAGCGGATCTAAAGAACAGCACACATGTGTTTGGACGAAGCCTTCGACAGAATCCCTTAACGGGGGACAACATGGTCAAAGTTCAGGAGGACAGGTAATAAAAAAATTTGTAATCTTTTATACATAACAGTACCTGGATCTGCTAACAAGCATTCTAGCTATCTGTCATCTAAAAAGCCAGCTCTTATTTTTAAATCTGACCAGTAGAATTTAAGATTTGAAATTGAATTTACATTTAAATATATGTGTTATAATTTTGCAAACACAGATTAGTTTTGTTTCATTGCATGTCATTGGTTTTCATCTTTGGTATACTGAGGAGATATTTATGACTTGACAGGATGTTTGTGGAGAGATGTATGGCAGACACTTTGTCAGAGTGTATACAGAACTGTAGCTTCCAGGCTCTGGCTGAAACTGTCCGCACAGAGAAGGAAAGGAAGGCCAGACTACAGGACACCATTCTGAAGTAAGCTCTGGAACTACATACTTGTTGCAGGGAAAATGGTTTTGTTGTCTCTAACAGAATAATTGTAGCTAGGAAAGTTAGAAAAAATTCTCCAAAGAATGGGGAATAAATATTAAAATCTTCAGTAGATGCTCTATTGTGTTCAGTAACAATAGAAGAAATTATGCAGTAACATGTTTGAGACAGTCTTTATGATATACTTTGCAATATGGTCCCTCTATTGTCTGTGTAAATTTGAGATATTTCCAAGTTTAGGGTCCAACCGTCATGGTGGGGCAAAGTATGTAATATTTTGAAAATGCATTATCTTTAAAAATCATTTATTTTTTACACCTGGAAAATTAACCTGTAGTAGACAAGCTAGCTGATGATAATAAACTGTGAATAATTCTGTCATATTTAAAGTTGATCACAGTGAAGCAAAAGCAGCTTGTTTGTTTGTTACATACAGTAGGCTAGAACATCTGTATGTCTGTAGTGTGTGTCAAATAATGCTTAGGTGAATCTTAGGGTCCATGGGCCTCCTCCCAAGTAAATAAAGCTACAACAAAAAATAACATGGGTAAATATATTGTTTGACAGAGAAGAGAATGGAAGAAGGCATGTAAGGATGCTGAATAAGAAGCTGGTTGACATTCAGAAGGAGAAGGAGATAGAGTTACAGCAGAGGAACAATATGATAGCCCACTTTAAGGACCAGCTACAGGAGATGAAAGCCAAGACAGACATGGAGGGGAAGTATCTAAAGAAGAGTGCTGAAGTCACTGTGGCACAGACCCAGAAAAAGTGTACTCTGTCAGAGAAAGCCCTCCAAGATGAGATCGAGGTCAGTGGGGGGGTTGCTAAAGGTCATAGATCTTTGTGGACATTTATAAATCTGGGACATAAGATCTGTATTTCCTTCAGTTCTCTGATTTCATTTATTTTAAATTTAATAAAGGGTGAATTCAAAAAAAATGACCAAACGCATATTTATCAACCCACACTAAAAATACAGGCAATGAAAATAGATTTCTATGTCTCAGCATATGTCTTTTGGTAGTGTCTAACTACCTGCCAAATATCTCGTTGATATCTCAATTAACAAAAAAGTTATGCCCAAAAATGATGCTAAAATTGTCAGGAGTGCAACACCTTTTTGTGACATTTTGAAATTTCAATATTTTTTGGAGATCTGTGAAATAAATAATAATGCTTTATGTTGAAAATAAAGACTTTCCTGATAATATTCAAAGTATTGAGCTTTAAATTTGGACTGTAGTAACTTTTGTTTAATCAAGTTGTGGTCATGGCTGATGTTTAAAAAAATGTTATACCATGTCAGGAGTGCAACAGAAAAAATGTAGTGTTGCCAAAAAAACATCAATTGTAAAATTCTGAAAGAAAATTAAGACAAAAAAGAATTTTTGAAGTGTAAAACAATAACTGATATACATTTTAAAACTTAAAAATGTTATATAAATCACAAGCAGCATTAATGAGAGTCAAGTATATGTGCATACCCAATAATGTCAGGAGTGCAACATTTGATGTTTTGCTCCCAAGCATGAAAAAACTATTATCATTATATGATTTTCTGATTTTTATTTTGGAAAATAAAGACACAAAGAACATTTTTACCAAATAGATTTATCAATTACAGGATCTGGCTGTGCTTCAGATCTATATTTCTATGGTCAGGAGTGCAACACATTTTTTTAAAGATTCAAATTGTGTGTCGAAAACACTTCTATTCATGCTTAGAAGTATTCATTAATTAATAATGATCTTTTTGTATAATTTAATACTAAATTATTGACAGTTTTATTATTAAAATCCTTCCTTTTTCAATTTTATCAATTCAGATGTGTTTTTATCTTTTTTGTGATTTTTTAATGAACGTTAAAATAAACACACTAAAAAATTGTCATAAATTTCAAGTAATTCCTCCTCAACTTCACTGAAACAACAGAACAAGTTCTTATGTAATTTTCACTTCACAATTCTATTTTGAAGGCCCCAATGCTTTTGGTCAGGAGTGCAACAAATATGTTAGAATTATAAATCATCCAGTAAGAATAAAAATAAAGAAAAAATGATGAATAGAATTTTTCTAGTGGGTTACTGTGTTTGTCCTCTGAAGGAAAATATGCTATAAAATATATTTTATCTTCTAAATATACATTTAAGCTAGTTTTTTGGCATAAATAGGGAATAATTTCAGATAAAATGTGAATTTTAAATACTTACATCTGTTTTAATACTGAAGTATTGGGTTATAAATATTGCACAATTTCATTACCACTTGATGTTGCCAACACTTTATGAATTTTTGTGCTATATGGTTTTAGTTTTAAATTTTACTGCAGTCAGGAGTGCAACAAAACTGCTTTATAATTACCAATGCTTTTTAACTATCTTTACTAAAAGATAAGTTGAAAAAAAATGTTTGATACTATTTGATGTTCAAAGCACTATGTCTATCAACAAATTTCAGAAATTTTACAGTCAATTCAGGGAGAAGTTTTCATCATTTCACATATAGTTTTAAATACAATTTATATATATTACACTTTGCAAATAATCATGTTTTAAGGTCTTCAAAATATGAAAAACCTGCCGTAAAAGATGAAAAATATCAAAACGACAAATTGATTTACAAAGTAAGAATTGGTTATTGTGTGTTAGAATTTTTAAAACATTGTTAAATAAAATACATATCAGATGTCAGGAGTGCAACACAATAATGTAACATAGGGTCACTTCAAAATCTAGTATTTTTTGTAAGAGAACTTGTATATAAAAATTCTTGTTTGGCTTAGATTTAAAGAATTGACTTGAACGGACAAAAAAGTGACTTTTGAAGAATTTTATTGCTTCATATTTTTTTCGTATTAAAACTTTTCAAACCAGAATTGAAAAAAATAATGTAAAATAATAATCAAAAAGCCAATTTTTGTCACATATACAAGAGAAGATACTCAATCAAGGTCTAGATTTAATCATCTATAACCCTTTTACCATTTTGAAGCATAAAAAACTATAATTTCTTGTGATTATGTATTTTAGAAAGTCTTTTAAGGTATAATGATATTTTCTTTTTTCAAAAGAAATTTTACTAATAAAAAATCTGAAACTTTTTTATCCAATTGTCTATTCTATTGCCACTTCAGGATTTTAAATTAGAATGCATGTGCAATGTGATGATATAAGTGAAAAATATGTTATAAGTAGTTGAAATTTTCCAAAAAAATTCAGTTTGGTGGTCATTTTTTAGCTCTACTGGTCAGAGACCAGAAGAGCTTATGCGATAGTAAGGTGTCCGTCGTCCGTCCGTCTGTCTGTCTGTCTGTCTGTCTGTCCGTCTGTCTGTAAACAATTTTTCAAAACGCTACTCCTCCTACAGTTTTGGTCCGATTTCAATATAACTTGGCACACAAGTAGACTACACTAAGATACATAATTTAGTGCATCGGTTTTTGATTTCGATGGACGGTGTTGCCATGGTTACTAAAAATAGAAATTTCTGTGAAATTCCTTTAAAACGCTACTCCTCCTACAGTTTTGGTCCGATTTCAATATAACTTGGCACACAAGTAGACTACACTAAGATACATAATTTAGAGCATCGGTTTTTGATTTCGATGGACGGTGTTGCCATGGTTACTAAAAATAGAAATTTCTGTGAAATTCCTTTAAAACGCTACTCCTCCTACAGTTTTGGTCCGATTTCAATATAACTTGGCACACAAGTAGACTACACTAAGATACATAATTTAGAGCATCGGTTTTTGATTTCGATGGACGGTGTTGCCATGGTTACTAAAAATAGAAATTTCTGTGAAATTCCTTTAAAACGCTACTCCTCCTACAGTTTTGGTCCGATTTCAATATAACTTGGCACACAAGTAGACTACACTAAGATACATAATTTAGAGCATCGGTTTTTGATTTCGATGGACGGTGTTGCCATGGTTACTAAAAATAGAAATTTCTGTGAAATTCCTTTAAAACGCTACTCCTCCTACAGTTTTGGTCCGATTTCAATATAACTTGGCACACAAGTAGACTACACTAAGATACATAATTTAGTGCATGGGTTTTTGATTTCGATGGACGGTGTTGCCATGGTTACTAAAAATAGAAATTTCTATGAAATTCCTTTAAAACACTACTCCTCCTACAGTTTTGGTCCGATTTCAATATAACTTGGCACACAAGTAGACTACACTATGATACATAATTTAGAGCATCGGTTTTTGATTTCGATGGACGGTGTTGCCATGGTTACTAAAAATAGAAATTTCTGTGAAATTCCTTTAAAACGCTACTCCTCCTACAGTTTTGGTCCGATTTCAATATAACTTGGCACACAAGTAGACTACACTAAGATACATAATTTAGTGCATGGGTTTTTGATTTCGATGGACGGTGTTGCCATGGTTACTAAAAATAGAAATTTCTGTGAAATTCCTTTAAAACGCTACTCCTCCTACAGTTTTGGTCCGATTTCAATATAACTTGGCACACAAGTAGACTACACTAAGATACATAATTTAGTGCATGGGTTTTTGATTTCGATGGACGGTGTTGCCATGGTTACTAAAAATAGAAATTTCTGTGAAATTCCTTTAAAACGCTACTCCTCCTACAGTTTTGGTGCGATTTCAATATAACTTGGCACACAAGTACACTACACTAAGATACATAATTTATTGCATCGGTTTTTGAATTCAGTGGACGTTGTTGCCATGGTTACTAAAAATAGAAATTTCTGTGAAATTCCTTTAAAACACTACTCCTGCTACAGTTTTAGTCTGCTTCTAATATAATTAGGCATACAAGAAGACTATACTAAGATACATAATTTATTGCATTGGTTTTTGAATTCGATGAACAGTGTTGCCATGGTTACTTAAAATAGAAATTTCTGTGAAATTCCTTTAAAACGTTACTCCTCCTACAATTTTGGTCTGATTTCAATCTAATTTGGCACACAGTTAGAATACACTATGATACATAATATGTATTTCTGTTTTTTTTTATTTGGGTGAATGGTGTTGTCATGGTTACCGGTACTAAAAATAGAAATTTCCGTGAAATACTTTCAAAACGCTACTACTCCTAGTTTTCATTTGATTTCAATATAACTTGTCACAAAAGTAGACTACATTAAGATACATAATTCTATTTATTGTTGCATGTTGCAATGTTTCAAATCCAAGTGCTACTTTTCTTTTGTTATACAAACAGACCAGTAGAGCTACAGTCTCATCAGAGACTTCTGGTTTTTAATTCACCCTAAAGTGTTTATGTATTTTATTGCATATTTATATAAACCAATTAAGTCAGCAAAGATACAGTACACAGAATTACCACCTTGGTTGTTTTTCCATACATTAAGTATTTACATGTATTTGGACTTAAATTGTATGTGCCATTTTCTTATTGTTTTTTTTTTATCTTTCAATCATAACATAAATAAATCTGCTCTAAAAGAAAACAAATCACAGTAAGGGTTAGTGCAGACCTTTGTTACATATATGTACTGTAAGCTATTGTGACAGTGTCTGATGAAGCTTCTGTCTAATTCCAGAGTCTGAAACACAAGATAGAGGAGGAGCAGAGATGTAACCAGGAAATAGAGAACTTTCTCCGGGCACATCAAGAGGTGGGGGACTAAGATAACGAACAATGAAGCACTTATGTACATGTATATGATTCAGAAACATAACTTTTAAAGCCTCAAAATCTTGTTGCAATAATGCTTTGCTTGAACACCAAACTTCACCATGCAACAACAGTCAAGTCATTCAGTTGGTGCTTAATAAAGCTAACTTCTGATTCACTACAAGAGGTCGGTCATTTATTGGCTGCTACAATATAAAAAAAACTTGTCAGTTGCAGAAAACATTTTAGTGACAAAGTTCAAACCCTTGGCAGACATAGCCAAAGAGAAAGTAAATGTCAACATGATCTCATCTATTACTTTATTGTCTGTCAAGGCCAGGTAGCACCTCAATATTGAATCCATGCTACTACTGATATTTAATGATGAAATACTTCATGTATATATTTTGTTGATATTGTGATGATTTCAGGAGTTGGAGAAGAAGGTGGATATTTGGATGGAAAAGTATGAGAAAGATGTGGAGGCCAAACAACATGAGCTGGATGTATTGAAGGCATCAAAGGCTAAAGACCTGGACAAACTTCAGGAGTTGACCAAATTAGTATGTACATTGTCTGCACAAAAAAACCTGTAGTTCAAATCCTCTCAGGTACTGCCACTTAAGTGGTTCAATGCTTCTGTGTAAGATTGACCTCCCCTTGCTTTAAGCTCAGATCCTCTCAGTTAATGCCTACTAGTGGTTCAATGCTTCTGTGTAAGAGAGACTTCCCCTTGCTGTAAACTCTGATCCTCTCAGTTAATGCCTCCTAGTGGTTCAATGCTTCTGTGTAAGAGTGACTTCCCCTTTGCTGTAAATCAGATCCTCTTAGTTACTGCCACCTAGCAGTTCAATGCTTCTGTGTAAGAGTGACTTCCCCTTTGCTGTAAATCAGATCCTCTTAGTTACTGCCACCTACATGTAGCAGTTCAATGCTTCCGTGTATGAGTGACTTCCCCTTTGCTGTAAATCAGATCCTCTTAGTTACTGCCACCTTCTGTGTATGAGTGACTTCCCCTTGAGGAGAGGAGTATAATATTAGTATGTTAGTTTTTTTGTGTTTTGTATTTTTTTTTAAAGAAACTTTCTCTCTTCTTAGTACAAAGAATATGAACAAGTGGTTGTGGAAGACAGAATAGAGAAAGAAAAGGCCAGAAGAAAAGCAGACCAAGAGGCCATTGAGCTGAGAGCAGCCACGAGGGTAAGTGGGTTTAAAGTAAATTACGTACATCAACCTTCACACATTTCAAGCTTTTCCTACCTGTTGAGCATACACTGACAGCATTTATTTTAACGTTTATCCTTTCTGTTTAGATTCAGTCCTGGTGGCGCGGTGTTATGGTTAGGAAAGGATTCGGACCATACAGCAAAAAGAAAAAAGGAAAGAAAGGCAAAAAGGGAAAGAAAGGCAAAAAGAAGAAGTAAATTGGATCACTGTTATTTTTGTTTTGAACAATTTTATTTTTGTTATTTATATCCTTTATTTTTTAATATCTGAACTTTATATCAAATGAACATGATGGTTGTGTGTCTATTATATCTGTCATATCAGAAGAACGATAAGTTTTTTATTTAAATATATTGAAATGTATTTAACATTTCTCATCAGTAATCTGGTTTTGGTATTAGTAAATACCATAAAATACTGAAATGGTTGCTTGTCACTTGTTTTAATTCCTGGGCTGATTTTATTGAAGAGAATATCAGAGACATGATAACACATACTTTGTTTACATGAGAAATAAATATGTTTTACTATGACTTCTTCATATATTTAAAGGTCAAGATCTAGTAAATGAAAGGTACTTAAAGATTTTTTTTTCAAATTTGAGAAATGAGTTCTTTTAATGATCCTTACAAATATAGCTTGGTAAAAATAAGGTGTATCAGGACATAACTTATAGGTAAACTCAGTGAAAACACATATTTGAAATTGTCATTTTCAATGAAAAAATGAAGAAAGTCATGTATAAATTTCGGAGTTTTTTCCATCACAGAAAATGTATCAATATTGCCCACAGTCTCTCAGAAAATGGTTTTTCGTATCTTGACCTCTACTTTAAAATGATATTAAATTGAATAGAGGTATCGGGGTTACTTTTGATATTATTTCAAATGGAACTCCATGAAAATGCTTCTTTTTCTACATAATTCTATTACATCCTTAAAGTATGGGAAAAATTAAGTTTAAATCCATTTTGACGTATTAATGGATCTAGCACCAACAAGACAGTCTAAACTCATTTACTAGATCTTGACCTTAACTGAATCTGTAACAACAGTGTAGCACACAATTACAATGAAACCTGTCCAATCCAACATGAACTGGGACAAAAATTGTGTGTCAAAATAATAGAGAGGAGTGTCATATTGCACAGTGTAGAGAACATGGAAAATAGTGAATTAAGTGGTCAGAACATAGACCTACCTTTAGGTCTATGGTCAGAATTCACAATGAAAGAGATTGCAGAGGTGTTAGATTGGACAGTTTTTTATTACCTTTTTGTTGGGGGGGGGGGGGGGGGGGGTTGACTACCAAGCCAAAATTCCTTGACAAGCCAGACCGAAAAGGGGGGGGGATCAGACGTTATTACTTAGAGGGCACAAACTTAAATAAAGACATAATAAAGTAGCTATGTTTTCCATGGTAGGAGCTATATGGTATACCTTATATCTGCAAACTTTGAGGAGAGCATGACTCCCGGTTCCTACGGCCATGTTTTGTAAAGAATACGAATCGTGAACAGGGCAAAAAGACGGACCCCTGGAAAAACCAGAGGTGGGATCAGGTGCCTAGAAGCAATAAACATCCCCTGTTGACCGGTCACACCCGTCGTTAGCCCTCATAACGAATCATCTATAGATGTAATTCCACTCAAAGGTGCTTGTGGAAAGGACCCAATGGCCATCCACACGCATTTCTTTACCACTCCCGATATATGCATCCTAGCACCTGGGATTTTTCATTTGTTTTGTTTCATATAACTGTTATTCTTGTAGATGGCACACTTTTACATTGTGATCAATATGAAAAAAAAAAACTATAATAATAAATAAATGAATAAATAACGTAGAAATATAATAAATAAGTATTATATAATAGTTAAAGCAAAGAAAATTTTAGTTCATGGAGCGTGTTCGGTGTGTTTTTCTATCTTGTTTACGGAACAAGTCCCGTGCTCTTTTGAAGGAAGCTAAACTGTCGAATCATCCTGATGCTTGTTTCTTTTTCCAAATACTGATCAACTGACCACTCCAGTGGGGTCTGGCATTGTCATCCACAAGGCCTAAACTAGGTCTAAACCTGGGCTAGGATCTCATCTTTGTAGGGTCCCTAGTTAGAGAGGTCTGCGGCGCCGCCCAAACTGATGCTCATAACTAGCCACTGCCAAACAGCCATGTTCAGCTGGAACTTAAGCAATTTAACAGTTCTTGAATTAACTTGAATAAATGTATATATCTCGTGTCTCTTTCTGTATACATGGCTATTGAAATTCAGACGATCTAGATGCACCATACCCAGTGGCGAATCCAGGAATTTCATAACGGGGGGGGGGTGCAATAGAAGACAGGGGGTCTGTGGGGCTGCATTGAAGCCCCCAGTGGGTCTACGGCAAAGCCCTGGTGGGGGTCCGGGGGCAAAGCCCCGGGGGAGCTGACGAATTCTTACAAATAAGAGATGTTTTTTCCCTTTATTTTAGGATAATGGACATATAAGTTCTACATACAAAAAATTCAAACGGGGGGAAGGGGGGGGGGCGCCCGGTGCGCCGGCCTTGGATCCGCCTTTGATTTTATGTGGGTCATAGCTGACATAGTCTTTAACAAACTGGAGGCGACGGTTGCTTTGTTCTGTGCTCGGGCTCTGCAGCTTGTCTGGTATATAATCCATCTTATTTCTCAAGGTCTTTGTGCCTTTGACTCTCTGTCTTGATGGCAACCGCTGATATGCTATTCGATTTTTTTAAATTTTCTTGGAAAGCAGTTAATTTATTGTCGACTTTGTCTGACAGTTGTTCTTTACGTACAGCCGCTTTTAGGTTTCCATTTGACGATGTAAATAGAATAGCTAAAAACACACAGCTGCGCACCAACTTGGTATTGTATGTGTATTCAAATTTAAACATTCCATTAGTCCCTGGAGCTTCTTTGGAGTATGATAATTAATAAGAGGCAAAAGTGACACATTCATGAAGAGTTTCCAAAACAAGTAATAGCAGAGAAATGGAGATTATGCCAAACTTCCAATAAAGCTTCCGGGAAATGAGCACAAATCAAGAGTGTGTTTGAACTCTCAGTTAATGCATGAACATGTATGAAAAGCCAATAATGACAACACAATACAATAATTAAGTGATATCAACAATATTATATTCAGTAAATCTTTTTGTAGACAGTAAAAATTATTTTCCTGCACAATTAACAGGTCCATATTGTCCAACCCTCCTTTTTTTTTTTTTTTTTTTTTTGGCTTCCCACTTTGAAAAATGATGACACGAGTCTGTTTTTAGATCAATAGGACTGTATTTGAGTGTTATGCAAGCTTTGGTGTATTGTACACTTGTCATGTAAATTCCAAAGCTAATACGTTGCATTTAGACTGAAGAAAATCGATCATATGTTGTCTTATGTAACTCTGCAGATCTAGGACAATCAATTTAATTTGCACAATCTCTAATGGTGATGATACTATTTGTAGTGCAGGCCCGTAGAACACGGGGGGGGGGACCCCCCTACTTTTTCTGAATATAGTATTTTGCTCTAATAAATTTTCCGTTATATTCTGGTTGCCCCCTCCTCCTTCTGTTGCTGTAAGGTCGAGCACTGGCAAATTCCAAGATTTGGACAGTTAATTAGTTTTTTTTTTTTTCTTTGTTTTTTTTTCCCGAACTTGTCAGATTTTTTGGAGAAGTTGCCCCCCCCCCCCCAACCTTTGAAACCGTTGCTACGGGCCTGTAGTGTCTGTACCAGGGATCGACCCATATACTATGTAGGTCTCTGTCTGTACGAATATTGAGTTATTTTAAAGTCACATAACCCCATTGCACCTATAAAGTAATAAACCTCATAGATCCGCGCCTTTCTGACCTTCACCTGCCACGCGTTTAGTCTCAGTCAGAACATATGTTTTGCTGGCACGTGTCTGACATTGCCTTCACACAAAAAGATCTACAAATGCTGCTGATGTTGAAAATGAATGTGCAGAATGGTTTTAACAGTGTTAAGAAATAGTTAAACGTAATCAAACATTATTTTGAATACATAGAATAGTTTTTAAACAGTTTAAATAGCGTGAAACGTGAATGGACAATTCGTGTTTGCGGTCTACGTGTTTAGCACACGTGACACGTGACTAAAAATGGTTGAAACAGAATTAGGACCTATTGATTTATAGTCTGCGCCCGTCGAAGACATCGGAAAGGGATAAAGGAGCAAAACAAGGTAATTATAATTATTTATTTGTTTAAAGAGAAGCTAGGAGTTGTTGAGAATTTGGTCAAAATTAAAAAAAAAAAAAAAGATATCTTTAAAATTATAACAACAAGTCAAGTGAAGAATACACATGCACGATAATATTTCTAGGGAATATACACTCTATGTATACCTGTATACATCTGTACTTAGACCTTGATTATGGTAATTGGCAAATGAAATTCATTTAATGAAGACTGACGTTGGATATATAATGAAGTATTTTGATTTAATCAAATTAATCCATAGATTATAGCTCCCCTAGCTGTCAAAAAAATTCCAAACATTGTCAGAGTTGGCTGACAGAGTGTTAAAGGAAAAACAAAGATGTTAAACTTCTGACATGTTCAGTGTTAATTGGTCACCAGGACTTAAAGCTTTTGGAGCGATCGGAACGACTTTACTTTACCGGTCCCCAGAAAACGCGCTAAAATATAGTGTCTCCGTAGGCGACTTCAGTATATATGAGATCGCGTGAGCGATCGAAAAAAATTAAAAGTATGAGGTTTTTAGCCTTTTTGACCCCAAAATCGAATTCTACGGTTAAAAGTTTAGTTTAAAACTTCGTTTTGAAACGAAGTTTTTAACCAAGTTTTCTGAAAAAAAGTGATTAATATTGTTTATTCAGTGAAAAGGAGACGAAAAATAATTGTCAACGAAGCGCGTGCGGCGCATGCTTAGTGCCGTTTCTTTCGTACTAAGCCATTTTTTCATGTAAACAAACCAAAGAGATTCGTGAAAGCTGAATTTAGATCTTGCAAAAAATACAGATATGCAACTGAATTTCTTAATTTATCTAAAAAAAAAAAAACAAAACAAACAAGAAACTAACCCTAATCCCTCGGATGGTATGCGAGGACTAACCCAAATCTCCCGGGCGGATGCTAGACTATCCCATTTGCAAGGACTAACCCTAATCTCTCGGATGGATGCGAGACTAACCCTAATCAGTTGAAAACTTGTGCAAGGACTAACCCTAATCTCTGGTGGGTGCAAGACTAACCCTAACCAGTCAAAAAATGTGCAAGACTAACCCTTATCAGTTGAGTGACGTAAATCTTACGTCATAGTGCAGTGAGCCCGCGGATCTTGCGGATCTGGGGACCGGTAAAGTAAAGTCTACCCGAGCGATCACTAATGACAACATCCCTTCCACTTGTCTTAAAGCATTTTATACCTGCAGGTAGGAGCACGTACATCATCGCAAGCCACAGGTTTTGTGTCCATTCTATTTCCACAGATTTTCAGTGCAAAAAATGAAAATTATATCCCATTTGGGAGATTGGTCCCAACCTGTTAAAAATCATTAAAAATACTGAAAATGAAAATAAGATTCATTGAAAGATTATATTAATTGCGTAAAAAAAAAAGGAAAGGGCGGAATGGCATCATTTTTACTTCAGTGCATAAATATACTCAAAATCCCCCAAATAACTGGGATGATGCAAGATCAAAAGTATAATTTATTTGAATCAGTTGTATGTTGAACAGAGACATGAGAAAGGACCTGAAAAAAAAAAAACGCAAATGAAATTCTACCCATTGTTAATATGGATATGAATTGAAAATTCCAACATTTATGAAGGTCCACCAGGATTTGAGAAGGTCCACAAATGATTTTTGACATGTGAACCTGCAGTCCCCATGTGCGCCCAACCAGTTAAGGTGGTAAAAAAGTTACTGTCAAACCCTGAAGAATGTATACTACCGACAATACCCTTTCCCTTGTCTTTCAGTGTTTACCTGCAGGAATGAGCGTACAGTACTGATAACACCCCATCAATTCATCCTTAAGCCTTTCACTCTAGGGAGGAGCATATGCTACTAACAATACCCCTCCACCTTGTCCTGTCTTAGGGCTATAGCTTTTCCAGTTGGTGTGATATCATTTGTATCCTCCTCTAACACTCCTTCCCCAGGTGTTCTTTGGCATTCTTCTCTACCCAGGAGTGCCTGATGAAAGATGGAAGTTTTGGGAATTCTTAATATTGAAGTTTGAGCAATCCTTGCAATCTTTTTTTTTTTTTTGTATTCATTGGTTCAGACAGTTTTGTGCTGGTCTTCAGGGACCAACCTAGACCCAAAATTTAGGGAGACTTCACTTCTTTCTCAGAGAAATGTAGGGAGAAGTTCTGAATTCTAGGGAGACTTCTTGGCGCACGTGGCGCACATTGATCATTATTTATTAAACCTTTGAAAAATGAAAACATTTCATTGTTTATTACTTAAACACCCAATTTTATGTTAACGCCCCCAAAATCTACCTAATTCAAGATCAATAATATACCGCCTGTCAATCATTAAAATAACAATAGCTTATGATTTGATTGACGGGCCCGCTACGTGGGCTACCTGATAATCTGAGTTTGCATGTTTTGAAAACAATTACCTGGTCACGCGTCAAACGCTTTCATGTGCCGCATGAATGGTCGCTTTGTAGACACTATGGTGAAAAAAAATCATGTCGCTGATATATTGGTTGATGATTTTATTTTTAAAAAATAATTGAGAGTAGTTAATTAAACAGTGACTTCGTGATTTTTTTTAATCTCCACTGCTGTTTTGTACTTGTTAGCGGTATGACGTCCAAAATAACTGTAGAACTTTTCGAAGAAAAATTAGCGGATATTCAAGCCCTCTCTTCCTTCAGTAACTGCATGAGATCTGGAGAGAGAGAAGTTTCTGTAGTAACACAGACCGATATTTCTTCCGAGCTCCTTATTCAACCTGTGCCTTGATTTTAAGAATGTACATAATGCACTTTTCGACCTTGCACTTGGGTACACAGAAACTCAATTCGCTGTAATTAGAAACAATCGACCCGCTCCCCCACCATTGAAAATTATAACAAAATGCAATGGATTAAATAAGAAAAGATATTTATACTAAATATATAAATAAAGTATCTTGTATCTAACGCCATGAATTACGAAAGATTCTTTTTATATCCAAATCTGTAAACAGGGCATAAGAACACGTACTGACCCTTGGAAATGGCGAATATTTGGACACCATAGTTCGCCAGAAAAGTAAATAATATTCCGTTGTGGTAAATGTTCACACAATAAGTGGAATCTTTTTATTTCAATATTCACACTTAATATTTTATAATAAATTCTTTTATTGGCGATTGAAATATTGATATGATTGCTTTGTAGTTTTCACCCGTTTTTTTTTTTTTTTTTTTTTTTTTTATTTTACGATTTTTAAAAAAGATATGACTTTTTAATTTCTTTTATTCAAAAGATAACAACGAAAACGCTAAGTCTACAAATTTTATATTTCAGTACCTAATTTATTTTAAATATTTTCACTCAAAATTATGCACAAAACGCGTAATGTTGACCCAGATTACCAAAAGCCCGACGTCCTGTGTAATGCAGCGTGTATAGGGATTTTTGACATCTTGAGTATTGGGACTCTCCAGGTAAATAACACCAGTACTTCATAGACCACTCCCCCTCCTCAGGTAACCGTACGATAAAAAAATTGGGTCTTTAAATACATTTCAATAATTTTTTCCGTATTATTTAAACATCCTAGTAAAAATAATTAAAAAAGATTCTTTAAAAAAAAAACTTTATATTTTTCCAATTACAAGGTATATAAATATCTAACAATATATATAAAACAATGACCGATGACAATATAAAAGTTTCTAATTGATAAACTTGTTTATCAAATTTTTTTTTTTTTCATTTCTTGCATAGTATGCACAATTAACTTTTAAATGATTCACACGTTTTTTTCTCTCCTCTCAGGGTTAGATTTTCAGGCTCTTGGCATAGTCATAATTTCGTTTTTTTCTCTTCAAAATTCGTTTTCAATATTAATTCTTTTTCTAAAAAAATTTTTTTTAATAGTCATGATTTTATCTCCGCTACATTTTGATGCACTAACTGCATGCCAGTTGAACAACTTACTTTTATCAGACATGTGTAATTTTTTAGACAGTTAATAACTCCACAGTTTAACAGTTAAAATATGTCTGTATTCACAGCATGTATTAATTAATTGACAATAAAAGATCTAAAATCATTTCCAACATCTTTGGCATGACATCGATAGCTGTCCAGCTGTTTTGCTTCTTGTTACAATGGACTTTTTCATACTCAGAAGCTTAAAATCTAGAGGAGTTCCGACAGAGTATTCAATGCATTGGTCATTTATAGTAGTAAAACAGGTGCAAGTGCCCTGCTGTTTCACTTATTTCAGCAGTAATAAGACCAGATTTATGAAATAGTGACGATACTACCACGTTTCTTAATAGATTTTTTTATGATTTTCAATAAAGGGGTTGCAAATGTTAAGGCGACTTAAACTTCTCTTTCGTGGTTAATTACGGCAAAGTTTGGAGCTCAAAAGCGACTATTTCGCCTCAGTTGCCCCCTAGGTTGGTCCTTGGTCTTGCTAACAGGAGCTGGGGTTCTGTTAATTCTGATAGTCATCTTGAACTTCTTATATAGGCACATCAGATTCAAATACCACAATAAAGTTGACCTTGACCTCAACCTTTGACACATACATCTTCAGTTTAACAAGTATTCTATTTATTGTTAGTCTTAAATTAGACAGTGGCCAATCAAAAATGTTGTTGGCAGAGCTAACATAGATTGCTGCTTTCTGAAAGACAACAGTTGTTAACATTTGGTATCAACAGTCAATTAGCACTTTGTGAGTGGAGCCAAGGTTTAACAAATAAAACAGTTTTAAATGAGTTAGCAAGATTTTTAATCCCCTTGATAAGACCTACATAAGTCATCGTCTCAAGAAATAGTCTAATCTCAGGGAACCAACATCTTTCTAGCTCACTCAGGGATATACTTTAATCTTTCTAGCTCACTCAGGGATATACTTTAATCTTTCTAGCTCACTCAGGGATATACTTTAACTGTTTAAAGGATGTTTCTCTTTTCAAGTATTTAGATTAAACAAATTCCTCAAAAACAGAAAACTCCAACTTTGGCCCGATGGAATTTTCTACAGTTCTACATTTTTCTATTCTTTCAGTCCAAATGTCAGACAGTGTAAAATTTGGAAAATGCACACTTGCAATCATGTCAAGTTGATTTCTTGTAGTGTGAGGCCATGTTTATTTACATTGGGCAAATGCATGCATAAAATTTTTTTTATTGCTTTATGTTGGTTTAATATAATGTTAAGAATACTTCAGTCTTTTTAAAATCATATCATTTACTGTAGTAGTATACTTGTTTCTTTGTTCATCAAAGGGCAGATCACTCTAACTCATAAAACTACCATGCAGGTAATTAGATCTCTTCAGTGAGGAGTGTTCAGAGCTTCCCCGTTTTTGTTTTTTCGATATCTTTTTGTCTTTTTCACTGATTTTAATTATTTTAGGTTATTTTGCACTTATTTTGATGAAAAGATGTAAAAGACTTTTGCTGAGAACAAAGGATTCTGATATATACAAATCAATATACAAGGTAAGGTTTGCGTTTTATAGTGGCTTTGAAGTTGCATTTATAGTGATTAAACTCAGCTCTTAGATGATGAAACTAATAAAAGAAAATAGATGTGAGAAGTGTATTGATTTTAGAGCTACAGAAGATCCAGTCGTACACTAAATGTCAATATAAAGTACGTTTAAGCCTGCTAATAAAATTGTATCGTGTTGATATCACCCTCTTGGGAGGATTGACTGAAGAACAGTAAAACACCCTGATAAGGAACTGCCAGCGATGGACGAATTTGCTTTTATATAAACGTAATTCCTTATATCAGTTAAGTTCACAATATGTTTTAAAGGCATGGGAGATGAAAATCACTTTGTTATAAGTGCAAATTCATTATAAGCATGTTGAACTGTAATAACGTATAAGTTGGTGTAGGCTAGAAAAAAAAATCTGAAGTACTGCAAGTTTTTTTTCTGTATTGATGGTACATGTATTACTATTTAAACTAGGTATTTAATAGTACGTGTTCCATGGGACACAGGAGTTGCCTGCTACAGCATCATTAAAGATTAATTTGAAGTAAATCTAAGAGTTGTTAGCTTTTTATTAACTTTTCTGAGTCAAAGGCTCAAAGAGCTAATGCTATGGATATCTTGTGTGTGTAAACTTTTTGGAATATGTGTCATATCTCAAGAACCCTGGAGTCAGTTTTTGTTGATGTTGTCACAGAGTATTCTTAGCCCAAGGGCTTTCATCTGAAATGTGGCGTGATCCTGAAACAAGGGGAAATAATTATAGAAATAAAACCCAAACAAAAGTAGTGGTTGTTACAAAATCTTCTTCTCAAGAACCATTGGGCAGATAATCACCAAACATATGCATAAGGATAAGGATATGTTGTAGATTAAAAATTGTTCAAGGCATCATCCTGGGGCAAACGGTATGGTCTTTAAGGTCACTTCAAATTTGACCTAAAAAAATGTTTTGTTAAAACACTGATATTTTGCTATAAGGACTAGGATCATTAATTTTTGTCAGTTGATACATCTTAAGACCTCATGTCAGACTCAAAAGTAGGTCAGGGTGACCTACTTTCTGAAATTTGCAGGTAATCATTTTCAATTTGATTTCTTGAACACTTTGAAGCAAATGATCAACAAACTTGTCTGTTTCACAGGCACTTGGGGTATTCCCCCCCCCCCCCCTCCCCCCTTTTCCATTTTTTTTTCTTTTTAAATCTGGGATCAAGTCACCTTTTTCCTAATTTGTATTCTAATATGCACTATACGTTATCGATAATGTAACCCTTTTGTCTTGTAACCCTTGTTTTGTATCTTAATGTCTCATGATAAACAGTGCATATGCTAAATAGCACAAACTTACCTCTCAAATGTACAAAATATACTGTATATAGGCATTAGGGATTATTTTTGAAAGTAGATCAAAGGTCAGGTTGAAAGGTCACCAGTTTGGTTACTATGGTATTTTACATTATGGAAATTTATGGCTATGAACAATAGTAAACTGTGTACTGCTCATATCAACACACACATTTTTTAAGTTGTTTACATGGAGATTTAGCCACAATAGAAAGTGCATGACTGTTAATTTCAAACCCTGCAGTAACGTATGTGTTAGTGATATATCCATCAATAATTCAGTAGAGATTTGACTACCAGTATGTAGTTGATGTCTGAGTGGTCCCTAATTCTCTCTTAGATTTTCTTACATACTGATTTATGAGTTACGTCGACCAATCAATACGTGTGTGGAATCTATATAAGGACATTCAGATGTAGTGTTACCAAGCATCTGATACTTCTGCAGAGGTGTAAAAGGCGTAAAGCTGAGCTCGATAGTCAAAGAATGCATAGATAAATCCATCATGGTTTTAAGTTACATACATAATCAGATGACAGATGAAAAATTTTAATTTTTTCAAAAGCTGTTAAGCAGGTTAATATTTTAATGATAAAAATTCAGTTTAAATGTCTTTCATCATGTTCATCCTGGCTTTTTCATTTTGCCAAAATTTGATGATTTTGTTGTTGTTGAAAAATCAACATTACTTGACATGAATGTAAAAAAAAAATTGAGATATACTTTAAGTTCTTGTACAAAGAATGAATTAGATTTTTTTTTCCAGACTTAGACTGCCATCATGGAGTGGCACATAATGAATGCTGGGGGTGTAACCAGTCTGGGGAGTAACCTAGGGTGTGTGGAGGATTCCCAGTACATACCTTCTGAGGAGTGTAAAGGTAAGGTCATACCTAGTAAAGGTAAATGTAGGCAACACCTTAAAAGGTAAACACAAAAATGTAGTGAACAAATTCTGAGGAGTGTAAAGGTAAGGTCATGCCTAGTGAAGGTAAATGTAGGCAACACCTGAAAAGGTAAACACAAAAATGTAGTGAACAAATTCCGAAGAGTGTAAAGGTAAGGTCATACCTAGTAAAGGTAGGTAATACCTGAAAAGGTAAACACAAAAATGTAGTCAACAAATTCTGAGGAGTGTAAAGGTAAGGTCATACCTGTAAAGGTAAATGTAGGCAACACCTGAAAAGGTAAACACAAAAGTGTAGTCAGAAAATTCTGAGGAGTGTAAAGGAAAGGTCATACCTGTAAAGGTAAATGTAGGCAACACCTGAGAAGGTAAACACAAAGATGTAGTCAACAAATTCTGAGGAGTGTAAAGGTAAGGTCATACCTGTAAAGGTAAATGTAGGCAACACCTGAAAAGGTAAACACAAAAATGTAGTCAACAAATTCTGAGGAGTGTAAAGGTAAGGTCATGCCTAGTAAAGGTAGATGTAGGCAACACCTTAAAAGGTAAACACAAAAATGTAGTCAACAAATTCTGAGGGGTGTAAAGGTAAGGTCGTACCTGTAAAGGTAAATGTAGGCAACACCTAAAAAGGTAAACACAAAAATGTAGTCAACAAATTCTGAGGAGTGTAAAGGTAAGGTCATACCTAGTAAAGGTAGATGTAGGCAACACCTGAAAAGGTAAACACAAAAATGTAGTCAACAAATTCTGAGGAGTGTAAAGGTAAGGTCATACCTGTAAAGGTAAATGTAGGCAACACCTAAAAAGGTAAACACAAAAATGTAGTCAACAAATTCTGAGGGGTGTAAAGGTAAGGTCATAGCTAGTAAAGGTACCTGTAGGCAACACCTGAAAAGGTAAACACAAAAATTTAGTCAACAAATTCTTAGGAGTGTAAAGTTACATGTAGGGTCATATCTGTAAAAGGAAATGTGGGTAACACCTGAAAAGGTAAACATATAAACATAGTTAACAGAATTTAAGGAGTGTAAACGTAAGGTCATACCTGTAGCAGGAAATGTAGGCAACACCTGAAAAGGTAAACATATAAACATAGTTAACAGAATTCTGAGTGTAAACCTAAGGTCATACCTGTAACAGGAAACATAGGGATTTAGTCAGTAGTCTCTACAGAATGTAAAGATAAACAAAGGTTTAGTCAGAATTCTGAGGAGTGTAAGATTTAGTAGGTTAACAGCCAGCAGAGAATGTAAAATGAAGTGTAAGGCCAAATATTTCATCTTTACTTTCTTGGGCCAAAAATTTCAAAATAAAATGCAATTTTCAAGTTTTTTGAAGTAAAAAAAAGGTATCTAGAGAATGGTATTCTCCAGAAAAATGTAAGGATAGGTGTAGCACCTGTTAATAATGTATAAACTAAAAGATATTATCAGTAGCTCTATGAGGAGTGTTTTGAAAAATAAATGCATTTGAAGCCAAGTAAAAGTTGATTAGCTAAGAGGTCTTTATCATTTGCAATGTGAGTACACCATATATGAATGACAAATGTTCTTACTTGGTCTAAATCTGCCAGTCTGTCATTATAAATATGACTGTATTATGCATTCAGCAGAGCAGTGTTAATTTATTCAGGACGACAGCACAGAAAGAAAGGTACACTATTTATGAATCACCATGATCACGCGTCATTAGAGGCCTTTTTCCCAGAAAATTCTACAAAAGGACGGGCATTCATGCTTCAGTAATGCTAAACTTCTCACGTTTTTAGCAGTACGCCGCTTATACTAGCCCTACTCTTTAGCACACATGTTAAGTCATTATTGAATATTTTCAGGAAAAAGTCATAATCAAGATAACGTGAATGGATGTTGAAGTTATACATGATATGATTAAAAAATAATAATAATAAAACAGGCACAATATAACATAAATGTCAATCTATTATAACAAATTTCAGACAACAGAAATGTTTATTGTCACAACAGTAAGTCATCTTCTATGTTACTGGTTAATTTTTTGATAATTAAAAATAAAACTCTTGAATTCTTTTCTTTGTTGTGAGTTCTGACGTTTGTTAGTAATGGCGCCAGGAAAAAATTCATTCTCATTACACGAATAAAGAAAACTAAACAGACATTACCTAATGTTCTATTTAATTTCCATAAATATTGTGTTCTGTTTCTATTTTTAAATTCAGACATACTTAATCGCACGTGATCATTTCACCAAACACTGGCGAAATTATTTTCATTAAAATGCAAAGCAAAGACAAATGATATTAGAGTGTATTTTAATCTTTTATGTTTCAACATTGCTTATGGAGAGAAAACAAATGAAATGTTGAGTGTCTACCAGTCCAGTATTTTTATGGTTGATTCTAGGGATTTGTCAGAGACTCATTATACCACCACAAAAGGCATGGATATTCGCTTTATTATAAGAATATGTATTTATTATAAGCTGTTATTATAGTTGTGTGTTGTTGTTTTCTTTAAATGATTTCCATGTTTGGCAAGAAATAAGTTGTATATTATATATCGTGTATATACAGATTTAATTTGCTCATTCATTTTTTTCTCCTTTATGTGAACACTATCATTTTCACTATACTATCAAGCAATAAATAATCTTCATTATAGTGTTTTTAAAATGAAATTTTCCAAACAAAAAGCTGAATATTTATAAAAACAAACAGCAAATCATTTAAGAGATGAATTTATTGGACTTACATTCTTCCCCTCTCTGATACAAATGAATCCTTTATCATTTTTATGTGATTTACATGTTGTACATTTTGTTGTTTTTTTTTTTTTACAGACGTTTTAGTTGAAATCTTGATCCAGCTGAAAGATGAAGATCCTCAACATCGAACGACCCGCCGTCAGATCTTCTACAGTCATCTTGTGGAAAAGGTGCGTATTAAGGTTTAGCTGAAGTTTAAAATCGTAGCAGCTAGCATAGCTTCTATGCTAGATATCTAGGTCTACTGAACACACTGTATGAAATATTGCTTGTTATCCCTACAAAGTGGCTAGGCTTACTTAGTGATCAAGATCAAAAGCTACTGGTACATAGAGCTACATAACCACTACAATCTTGAACACATCCCTGATCTCACCTTGTGTAGTGGTGTTTGAGTTTATTTATACCTATTTCATTTTATTTCAAAATAAAGCATTTGTGTGCACATCTACTTACAATCATTGCAATTAACTCGGTGCCTTTTTTATGCCTTCTTTTCCAGGATCTCTGTCAAATGATTAAGTTCCTGAGAGATGAACCAGAAATTTTTGGCTTGGTTGTAAGGTAAATATACATATGAACAAATTTACCATCATTTGCAAGAACAAAATTGAAAAGGACTAATATTAAACCTATTTAGCTTCAAAACCTATAGGGATGTGTTAGAGATATAAGTCAAACCCTGTGAACATATGTGATATAGCAGAATGCTTTTCTTATTTTGATTTTAAGTTTAGCATTGTGTAACTTTGCCTTACCTTCGCAGGATTCTGGCTAATCTGACACAGCCAGTAGAGAGCCTGATACATTCTACAGGGTACACCATGACAGAGGCAACTCAGGCTGGGATGTCATGGCAACAGGGAGTGGAGAGTTCCCTACATCACTACAGATCTTTGTTTGCAGATAAATGTGTCATGTCAAGCATCTTTGAGGAAGTTAACACTCTTATAGCAGAGGTAGGACATGTTTTCGTAAAATACACTCTGAGATACCATTAATCAGTGCCTCTTTTGATTTATTTTAGTCTGAGGGATACCCCCTATTAGAGGAGAGTTGTGATACCATTAATCAGTGCCTCTTTTGTGGTTTATTTTTAGTCTGAGGGATACCCCCATCAAAGGAGAGTTGTGATACCATTAATCAGTGCCTCTTTTGTGGTTTATTTTTAGTCTGAGGGATACCCCCTATCAGAGGAGAGTTGTGATACCATTAATCAATGCCTCCTTTTGTTGAGGAATCTCCTTCACTTCCCAAGCAGCTTGGATGACAACAGCAGCAAAGAACATGAAGTTCTCCTCAAGTAAAGTTACTTCTAAGATTACATCCAGAATTTCAGAGCAATTTATACACAAAAAAGGAATATTAAGCATAATATGTGACGATTCATTTTGATGCATGCACTTGATGTCTCATGCTGACAATTTTGAATTTGTAGAATCCTGTTTGAGTGTGACTTTACCGAGAGATTAATCGGCATCCTACAGCTCTCCCAAAGGGTAAGTAATGGTGTCAATACCCTGTATCAAGTGTCATTAAAACACTTTTATTTATAGGCATCTAAGGCAGTGGTGATGTAAAACTTAATAATCATTAATATGATTGAGAGCTTGATAATCATTAGATATAAGTAATACATGTACAATAAGTAATGACAGTTTGATGGTTTTGACAGGAATACTGGACGGTGACTGCAGTACAACTGGTTACTCTCATATTTAAAGGACATGTAAGTGAAGTTATATAAAATAGCCCAGTCTCTGTCATACTTTCTTTATCAGTTCATACATAAAAGAAGTAGATTGAAATTAAGTTTTTATCAATTTTACTCGAGCTTTCAGTCAATAAAACTTTGTTTAGGCTAAACTGGAAATTTGTTTTTCCTTTTCTGGACATTGTAATATTAACAGATATTTAAAGAAATGACATAATTCAGTTATTTTGTTTATTTTTTCCCTTAATTAGTGTATGTGTAATTGTATGTGATGTTACAGATAGGAGAGATGTTCCTACAGAACGTAACGGACAGTAACACAGTGACGTTTCAGTTAGAGCCACCCATGGAGGAATCCATAGATTCCCAGGAATGTCTGATGTGCGGCTATCAACACAATGACAAAGACTTTCAGTGTATTAATTATCTTGAGGAAAACATCTCCAAAAATCTCCGTCTCCGATCAAGCAAGAGTTCCTCTCTCAGTGGGTCGAGTTCCGATCTCACAGAGCAGGAGGATGACAGCTTACTGTGAGTACAACTCAACATTTTCCACCAAATTTATTTGATTACTATGTATTCTTATAGATATTCGAGATTTACAGAAAATTTCCTTTTCTTGTAGGAAGTATTTGAAAGAATTTGCTCTCCAGTTTCTCACAAAGGCATTTTGTAACATGGTTCATGATCTCAGGGTGAGCCCTTTTTCCCATATTGTATTTAAATGTGTTTATTTCTTTTGTGATTAGATGTAAATTACTGTGTTTTATTTATTACAGCATATACTCACCTCCCCATACAATGCACTGATAGATGAAATCTACCTATTATGGCTTCTGGCATTTTTCCTCAAGTACGCCAGACATCAACATGTGGAATTTCATTACATCAGGTAATCATTAGGGGCCCGTTTTACAAAAGAACTTATGACTAAGACCGAAAACTTAAATTGATTGTAAAATTTTGCAAAATGAATGGTTTTGTTAAAAATTGCTAGTGTAAAAATATCTTACTACATTCCTTTGAAAAAGATTAAAACCATTTTCAATATAAAGTAAATTAAAAAGTTACAAGCAGAATTAAATTTTGGTCTTAGTTGTAAGTTTTTTGTTAAATGGGCCCCAGACTTTTCTTTGATGTCATTCACATCAGACTTTTTGAGACAGAAATATCACCAAATGCATGAAATTTTTAAATTTAAGCAACTAACATTCTTATTGAATCTGTCATTTTGTTTTGCAGGGGCACTTTCTCAACAGACATGTACGGTTTCCTGGTTTATGAAGGGGTAGTGAACTCAGAGGAGCTAGTGATTGCCCAGAGGAACAAACAGGACACCACCAAATACCTAAGGAGGTAGGTATAGTGTAAGAGTCACCACCAAATACTTAAGGAGGTAGGTATACTGTAAGAGTCACCACCAAATACCTAAGGAGGTAGGTATAGTGAGAGACACCACCAAATACCTTGGGAGGTAGGTATAGTGAGAGACACCACCAAATACTTAAGGAGGTAGGTATAGTGTAAGAGTCACCACCAAATACCTTAGGAGGTAGATATAGTGAGAGACACCACCAAATACCTAAGGAGGTAGGTATAGTGTAAGAGTCACCACCAAATACTTAAGGAGGTAGGTATAGTGAGAGACACCACCAAATACCTGAGGAGGTAGGTATAGTGTAAGAGTCACCACCAAATACCTAAGGAGGTAGGTATAGTGAGAGACACCACCAAATACCTTGGGAGGTAGGTATAGTGAGAGACACCACCAAATACTTAAGGAGGTAGGTATAGTGTAAGAGTCACCACCAAATACCTTAGGAGGTAGGTATAGTGAGAGACACCACCAAATACTTAAGGAGGTAGGTATAGTGTAAGAGACACCACCAAATAACTAAGGAGGTAGGTATAGTGTAATAGTCACCACCAAATACCTTAGGAGGTAGATATAGTGAGAGACACCACCAAATACCTGAGGAGGTAGGTATAGTGTAAGAGTCACCACCAAATACCTAAGGAGGTAGGTATAGTGTAAGAGTCACCACCAAATACCTAAGGAGGTAGGTATAGTGTAAGAGTCACCACCAAATACCCATGAAAGAGACAAGCCTGTTGGACTTACTTGATTTTTCACTTTTACTGGCCCCCATGTTCTTTTTTTATACCTAAATCTTGATTTTCTTAGTCTTCATTCTACATTATTTTTCTAAGAAGGAATACATTTTTACAAATAACTTATCAGTTTTTGGGGGAAACAAATATACTTTTTTCAAGTTGTACTTGTATGAGTGGATTTGATGATTTATTTTATTTATTTATTTATTTGTTTGTTGTTTTTTGTAGATTACATTTGACTTTAGGTGCTGTGAGGGAAATGTTGCAGGGTCTTAAATTACACTGTGAGAGTACTAGTCTTAACGAAGCTGATATTACATATCTGGAGAATTTACAAAGTAACTGCAATTTTTTCTACTTATCCATTTCAAAATTACATTTAATTTTATTTTGTTAAAGCTTTAACAGAAATGATAATATAGGAAAGTACAGTAAATGAACTATTTATTATAAATGAAAATTTATTTTTATGATTTACATGTAAGTTTGAAATCCATCCCCTACTTTGAAATTTTGCCACTGAGCTAGGAAATAAATAAGAACACAATAAAATACTTATTATAGCAACTTGACAATATTAAATGATTAAGATTGCACCCCGCTTATTATTTTTTTTTTTAACCTATTATGATCTTTAAGAAATAAATGTACGTATATATGACAAACTTGTTTTTGACAAATTTCTCTTTTATTTTATAGAGGATTTGGCCGGTACAGAAGACCTACCTCAGGTGTTCCTCCTTCTGATCAGAAACTTCCAGATGCACACTCACAATCTGAAGTTCTTACAAGACGTAATCGTCACCAATCATCTGCTGCTTCTACTAATGGACGTCTGGAGAAATAAAGGCTTCGGCAAAAAGGGATTCCACATGCTGGACCATGTCAAACAGTAAGTAGGTCAAATAGAAAGTAGGTCAAGCAGTAAGTAGGTCAGATAATATATAGGTCACACAGGTAACAAGAAGTAAAGAGCTTAACAAACTCAGACACAAATGTTTAAACTTTCTCTTGTGAAAAGTGTACATTCATTACACATGGGAAAGCACAGAAATGTATACATTTACTTGTGTTATGTTTGACTGTGTATCTTACTACTGTAGATTCCTAAATATACGCGAGGTATTAATTATCGCGTAATTACACGAGAAGCAACACTCGCGAAATAAAATTACCCGCTTTTATTTATATGGTGCTGAAATCAATGTAAAATCACTTGATCAACCATCCACTCGCGAATTATTGTTCTCGCGATTTGACGTTAAAGAGTCATTACGCGATAATAAGTACACGCGAAAAATAAGGAATCTACAGTATGTGTTACACATTATGTGAAATGGTAGAAAGAAATTCTTGCGTAATTTTAAAATCCTTGACCTTTTATTTTTTGTAATTTGAATTTAAATTTAAATTAGACATCATTAACAGTGACATGAGAAATTTATATCTGGCTATTCTCTGATTTTTTGTGTAGATTTGCCACAACAGAAGTTATGCAGAAATATGGTCGCTTACTTGAGAATTTTGAGTATAACAACGCCGTAGTAAATAACTGTATATTTACAATGATGCACCACATTGCTGGTGATTGTGAGAAACCCACAGCCCTGTTACAGGTTCAGATTCTCCGAACTTTTTTAGAAATTCTGGACAGTAACACACCTCTGTCTCAGGTGAGGAATCTCAGTAGTAGTTCAAGGTCATTTTTTTTCTCTTGTCTGTTGCCCTAATTTTCACCTACATATACTGTATATGTACTTTTAAAAGCAGGTTTCATATCTTAGCGGCTTTGACACAGACAACAATGCGCTAATTTATAAATACCGCTAAGAAATCATTGATATGTACAATACATGGCCCGGACATGTGTAGTGCTAATTCATGATTACGTCAACAACTCCATACCCAGTGATTGCGCTAAATTTTGAGTATGCAAATTTATGTACATGTACAGTATATTGCATTCTTTTAAAAACATTCAATGCATATTTGTTTTTCTAGAATTTTATAATTCTGTGAGTTTATTTTGAATCACACAATTTTTTCTATCCCAGGAGAAGACAGACTTGATAGAGTTCATTCTTCAGAAATTCATGGTTGAAGCGGAACATAATCCATTTTCTTGTGCTCTACAACTCTTCGGAGAAATGCCAGTCAAAGGGGAGAACAGGTACTTAATTATTGTCTTAGAAGTGTACCTTCTTATACAGCAGTTTAAAATCTTCATTAGTTACACTGTATTTACTGTACATTATTCTAGATCACGAGTGCTGAAAAATTATATAATTTTTTTGAAAAGTGCCTATGAATCTGACCTAATTGTCTTCTTCATATCGGATTGGAACAGAGTGAAGGAGAAGTTGATCATGTTTTTATTGATTTGTAGGAATTCTGAGGAAGTTGGAGCAGAAGTTGATCATGTTTTTATTGATTTGTAGGAGTTCTGAGGAAGTTGATGATGTTTTATTGATTTGTAGGAATTCTGAGGAAGTTGAGGATGTTTTATTGATTTGTAGGAATTCTGAGGAAGTTGATGATGTTTTATTGATTTGTAGGAATTCTGAGGAAGTTGGAGGAGAAGTTGATGATGTTTTATTGATTTGTAGGAATTCTGAGGAAGTTGACCATGTTTTATTGATTTGTAGGAATTCTGAGGAAGTTGGAGGAGAAGAAGAAGATTTTGATGAAGATGAAGAGGAGGATGCTGAGGAGACAAAGAAAGAGAAGGACATCCTCCTGATGTTGTACACAGAGCTGATGGGACAGCCAGGCGCTCTAGGGACCATTTCCTGTAAACTCCAGGAATTCGGCATCAAGAAAACGGAGAAACAGGTACCTTAAACAGTTAATAACATTAGGAAAAAACAGGTATCTAATTAACAGATAATAACAGGAAAAAATGTGTCTAATTCCAATAGTAACAGTCAGATAAAAAAAAAAGTCATGATGTTTGTGTTTTCTTTATTGTACTGTATAATCTTGATTTCTTTAGAGCTTTTAGTACTTTAGAGCACAATGTTTTGAAATTTAAGTTGTTGTGATGATCAGGATTTTTCTCCAGATTTCAGAAGATCTTAAGGAATTTGATTGGTTGACAGATGAAAGGAATACAGAAGAGTTGGAGGTTAGTAAGACATCTGAGATCAAAGGTCAATACTCAAATAGATCAAAAGGCCAATCTTTAAATAGATCAAAGGACAATACTCAAATAGATCACAGGTCAGTACTCAAGTAGATCAAAGGTCAATCCTCAAATAGATCAAAAGGCCAATCCTTAAATAGATGAAAGGTCAATACTCAAATAGATCAAAGGTTAATACTAAAATAGATCAAAGGTCAATACTCTAAGAGATGAAATATGTTACTGAGAAAACTTGAAAAAAATGTCTTTAAAGTTTAAGGTTTGCTCCAAGATGGGTTTTGATGTCATTTGAAAATTATGTTTTTTTAAAAATGAAACATTACAAACATTATTAATTTTGTTGTGATTTGATCAGGATGAAGAGAAATCATCATCAGAGAGTGATATGGACCAGGAGTCATCTCCCCTGAATATCTCCAGTCTGAGCGATTCCGAGATTGTCATGCACTGTATAGACAAGCTCAAAGAATCAGGGTATGATTCACACCTAAAGTGGCTACAGAGGCAGTTCTGTGAAGTGGCTTATGCTAAATCTGGTAAGGGGGAATCAGGTTCTCTACTCATAATTGACAGTAGCTCACTTTAGAATTTTATGTTATTAAATTAAAACCTTTGAGATTTGGATATTTTGGAGGATATGGTAATATAATATGAAGTGTGAACTAGATTGTTTTGATTTTGTAGCAATATCTGTGAGTAGTCTTGAGAAACAGGAGGCGGTAGAACCTGTAGCTAGATTCCATGTCAGTAAGTAAATACAAAGTTTCTATAAAGGAACTACCTATCATGTTGTACAATCATTTATTCTTTGAAGGCACAATCTTGAATTATTCAGTCGTGATGTATTTGTTGATTTAATGACACCAGTAATAGCTTCAGATGATCTTTTCTTTCACAGTTAAGAACAAATCAGTCCCATTAGTATTGTACAACGAAGAACAAGAACAGTTGATGCATAACCCCTACTTTGTTACGTTACTTCAATTCCTTGGACTTCACATGCCGGAAGATGTAGGTCTGATGTATCCCAGAATTCCTCATTTCTGGACTGTACAACATTTGTTGGAGAAGGCCAGTCTTATTGGAGAGCTAAGTATAGGTATGTATGTGGTTAGAAGAGAGAGCCATTCTGACAGGAGAGCTTAGTATAGGTATGTGTGTGTGGTCAGAAGAGAGAGCCATTCTGATTGGAGAGCTTAGTATATATGTGTGTGTGGTCAGAAGAGAAAGCTATTCTGATTGGAGAGCTAAATATAGGTATGTGTGTATGTGGTCAGAAGAGAAAGCCCTTCTGATTGGAGAGCTAAGTATAGGTATGTGTGTGTGTATGGTCAGAAGAGAGAGTCATTCTGATTGGAGAGCTAAGTATAGGTAGGTTTGGGTGTGATGAGATTACAGAGATTTAATACTATCTTACCAAATATCCATGTATACATATTGAACCATATTGCAAACAGTAAAATATGGAATGCAGTTGAACTTTGATATCATGAACATCAGTATCTCCAATACCATTGATAGGAGGGAGGGAGTTGGAAGATTTACCCACTTTTTCTTCTTGTCTTTTAACCTCAGTATTTCTAATCATTGGATATTCTTGGCTTAATCGAGTTTGAGATGAGATTTGACTGTTTATAGAATCTGAGATTTGACTGTTTGTAGGGTCTGTTTCTTTCATCAGCATTGAATCACGGTTTTACATGAAAAAAAAAAGATTGTTACAAAGATATTTAAAGTCTTCTGATTTATCATAGGGAGCTCGAGGAAGTTTGATGCTTCTTTGATTTAAAATTTAGTGTTTTTAATTTGTTATTCATTTGCTCTTGATTAAAACACAATATTTGTACATTTTAGAGCAACTTAAATTTGATCCTGTGAAGTTGAAGGATGGCAGAGAATCAACAGACATTCCATTCCAGTTCAAAATAGAAGGAAAAGATGGCATTACATTTGAGTATGTATTTTATTGCTGGTTTTTACTATTTTCCTTACTGAGCTAAATGCCTGTATTTAAGAATAAATTTTGCTTTTAAAAAATTGTCAAATATTTTGATGTAGAACAGCAAACCTGTACAGTGATTATCGAAAAGAATCAAAAGTGACAAACTTACAAAGGTAGGCCTCTGTGGGGCTGTGCCCAAGTTTAAAATAGGCAAGGTTGTGAAAGGATGATTCCACATAAGGTGTAAAACTGTCCTCTTTTACCTTGCAAGGAAAAGATGATTCCACTTAATGTGTAAAACTGGCCTCTTTTACCTTGCAATGAAGTGAGGATCTAAGTGCATTGCCTATTTACATTAAGTGAAATTAGCCTTTCATGTTGCTGTGGTTGAAGGGTTGATAGGTGTGTGGGGGTTAAGTGAAATCATCCCTCTTCACAGTGAATTAGATCATTCATGCTTCATGCTTTCTGTCCTGTTTGAAGTATATAGAGGATATTCTATGAGGCGCCGTTTTGGTATTTACTGCCAAAAAGTGATATCACCTATTCAAATAGGTGATATCACCTATTCAATTGGTGATATCACCTATTCGAATAAGTGATATCACCTATTCAGCTTCTGAATAGGTGATATCACCTATTCGAATAAGTGATATCACCTATTCGAATAGGTGATATCACCTATTCAATTTGAATGAGTGATATCACCTATTCAAATAGGTGATATCGCCTATTCGAATAGGTGATATCACTTATTCGAATAGGTGATATCACTTATTCGAATAGGTGATATCACTTATTCCTTTTGAATAGGTGATATCACTTATTCGAATAGGTGATATCACTTATTCAAATCAAATAGGTGATATCACCTATTCGAATAGGTGATATCACTTATTCGAATAGGTGATATCACTTAATCATTTTGAATAGGTGATATCACTTATTCGAATAGGTGATATCACCTATTCAAATTATTTATGAAATAACAACTGCTCCCAAGACTATAGCCTTTAATTCTCATTTACTTTCACTTTCGTTTTATAACTTACCATTATTGCAGACAATGGATTACAGCTTCGCATTTAGTTTTAAGCAGCCCAGTAGAGTTTGTAGTTTGTTTTGCTCACAAATTATATTTATTACACTTATCTATCATGTATACTATAGGAAAATTCAAAGGGTCTGTAGGTCTCGTTGACTTTCACTTTCGTTTTATAACTCCCGGGTACCTGAGCGTTCTTGGAGACAATGGATTACTTTAAAAGTTGTAAGCATCGCAGTGGAATTATTAAACTTGTAGTTTGTTTTGATTCCCGATTGTTGCAAAGAAGAGGAGAAAATGGATTGATAGATGCAGGTAAATAGCGTTTAATTGCTTTATTTTTTCATTACATAACGTAAACACAAGCTATTCCGAGGGGGCCAAGATTAGCCAACATACTTAAGCATAAAGGGAAAATTAAATCGTTTTTATTCTAAAATCGTCTGTATTCAAAAGGTACGCTTATCTACAGATTGGTTTCATAAATTTAAAGCATTGATTTAGCTTACAGTATGGTATAATTTGGAGTATTGGACAGGTATACATGAGATTGGGATATTGAATGCGATGTCATTGAAAGCAAATAAAAAAATAGATGTACCCAAATGCATCGACCATGGGAATACAAAGTTAATTACCACGTCGATAACTTATGATCTTTGTAGAAAACACATTTTTTTTTAATTTAATTACTACAATAAATAAAAATGGCCAGCTCAAAATTGGTCATTCTGTAGGCTACCCTGTCTATTCAGAAATAAAAATGGTCACATACACTCAAAAAATAATTATTTTTTATTCTACAAAGAAGAAGGCATTTTTTTCATTTACACATACAAACTGTATTAACTGCCAAGTTTCATGACCCCCCCCCCCCCCTTTTCCAATACTTCTACAATTATGAGACAGACTTTTTTTTTCTTGAAATAGGCATTTTTCTCCATTTGTCATAACATATTACAGGGCTGCACAGGGTACTGAAAAAGGGACAGCGCTTTGAGTGAATGTGTTATCCATGTATCTGCAAATGAAGCAGATCCCCCAGTTATTATACTCATGGAGAGTGTAACAACTTCCAACTTGTTAATGACGGAACTCCATTTAAATCAGGTACAAGTTAAAGTTTAGGCTGCACAATTCTTTATTACAATATTCAAAACTTAATAATTCAGGATCAAGTTCACACAAGCTCACATTCCATGGTTACTTACAACACCATTATGCTAGATAAATTTGTTATACACTTTCATGTTAAATAGTCAAATTTGATTGGTTTAAAAAACATTTGTTAACAAGTACTATTACCATACTGCATGCCAGACATTACATCCCAATGGTTGAAAATGCATGACTACGGGTAACAGTATATATAGTAATAAAAAATGTTAACTGTGCAGAATGTTTGCACGTTCGTTTCACCTTGTTGTTTTCTTTAAAATGCATTCTATAACAAGAAAAATATTACCTGTTTATTTTGGGTGATGTGAAATTCTTACCCCTTAAAAACCATTGCTGACCGAGGCGAGGTCAGCGATGGTTTTTGTGGTATAACAATTTCACGTTATCCTACTAAACATGTAATATTTTCATGTTATATGTACTTCTATTTGTAAATGTTAATGACTGTGAAAAACATAAATATTTATAAATTAGTAAAATCAATTTAATACACTATGAATACACAAAAGGACAAATTTGTACATAATTCTCTATGATTTGGTTAATTAGTTTATATAAAGGATGTAAATGGACATGACATATCATTGTTAATATTCAAGAAAGTGTTCACTGTTTTTCTTGTAGATGCTCCTTTCCATCTGATGTTTTCCAGGTTTTTGTGAAAAGTTTTCTTAAAAATGGCACCATTCAACTACAAATACTATGCCAGTGGAACTGTGATATCAATCAACTGCTTATGACACTATTAATTGGCAGAGAATTTATTTTTTTTTATTTGGGACAAGAAATCTGTTTCAAACATTTTATACCTGCAAATTGGTACATGTACTTCATGAAATGCTTGAAGGATGCTAAAGGCTACTGAAATTCCAAGCCAGATGAAATTCAAAAGGATTGATACAAAAGTCATTTGAAGTTTTCTATTCTTAGTGATGAGTGTTTTTCAGGATGCCCTCTGATATCATAGGTACAACTGGTCACTGTCCTTTGTTAGTTACACATGCAGACAACTTATTAAGGCAGTGATATAAGTAGCTCGAAGTGATGCTTTATTGTTTTCCTCAGATTTATAACCTGGATTGATCTCTGATGCAGTAATTTAAAGCCATGTCTTTTCACTGTCACAAAGTACTGAAATAAAAATAATTTTGATTAAAATATTTCTTTTAATTCACATCATTAAATTTTTAAGCTACAGAAATTCAAATTAATTACCTATTAGTAAATAGGAATCTTTAATTGATTAGCAAGCCTTTGCATTGTCAGATCCTTTTCTGAAAGGGCCATTTACCTTTAACAATGTCAGGACAGGTGAGGCAACTGGCTGGTCTTCATGCTGGAAGTGTGTGTTAACTCTGTAATCTTTTTAAACAAAACCATCCAGTGATGTCCTAAGATTGCCAGATGAGCAGACATATACCTGTATTTAAGAAAGATTCTGTAACATGACATAGAATTTTTGCACAGCTTGACGCACAACTGATGGTATCTTAGGTGCCTGCAAAATAATAAATCTGGCACATATTTATTTATTTGATACAAATCAGAACAAAATTTGTCCTTTTACAGAACAAATTATTTTCATTTTAAAGAAAAGAGAAATGCATATGTACTGTTTTAATACATATAACCTGTATTATTGCATATTTTCACCCCATTCTAATTTTTAAAATATTCACTCTTTCACCCTTGAAAACAATTTTGCCCTTTTAAAATTTGATCAGACACATTTGTGTTTAAAAGATATATGCTGCCTTCTTCGAATTTGTCCCGTTTTAAATTCACCTACTTGTAAGGAGGGCAGAATGAGAAAAATAAAACTTAACTGGGGCGAAAAATTTCCAGAACAAAGTACCATTACTTGCCTGCCTGTTGTACTATAACTCGATCCTCCAACCTTACAATATTCTATAATCATTGCTTTCATGCGATACCCCCCAGTGGATTGATGGTCTCTTTTCCAAATTATATGCACTTTCTAAAAAGAATGAATTTGTCAATTTATAAAATTTAGTATTACAAGTTAATAAAGACAGTAAAACAATGTTAACAACATTTATATGCAAATGAACCTCTGTACAAATCACTTATAAATGATTGACAACTTGTATGGAATATATCGAATACCCTTAATTTTGACATTTGGAAACCCAGCGTTAAGGCCAAACAAAAAATATGTGTGGTTCTGGTTACACCTCCAAAAAAAATAGGGAAGGTGGGTAGGGTTTTTTTTTTTTTATTTTAACAAAATGATTTTCTAAATTTTTCCAAATAATACCTATTTCTTTTCGTTAGCATAAGTGAACTATTTTATGTGTAGAGTGTTAGATATGTTTTCTCTTAAGCATATGGATTAGATATGTGCTTTAATGTGTGAATAAAATGTCTTGGGTATTTAAACAGTTGTTTGCTGATTCTATTCATTCGAGTTCATACTCATCCAGAAAATACAATGTTTGAAGAAAATCAGCATGAGCAAATTGAATTATTTAACTGTTATTTGGATATTATATTTTAACAGGGTATTACTTAATCTCGGACCTATTATTTGGCTCGGACTTTCAATAATTTTCAAATTTCAGTGTAGAAGATTTATTTAGAAGTTAGAAAAACAAATATTGATGATTTTTTGTGTAGAACTATGTAGTTAGAAATAAGTCTTGAAATTAACACATATTTTTCTTTGTAGAAACTGGTCTTCCTAGGTATAAAGTTATTATGTGCATGTTTTAATTTAAATTTTGTAGGGTTTTTTTATTTGTAATAATGTTTTCTTGATTTATTTTGT